CACTTTTTTGCAATTAATGTACCGGTAGTTACTATGGACTTAATGCATACACATTTTTAAAATATGGGCTATAACAGTTGTATTGATGTATAGCAACTTGAAATGCTCCCACAAATGGCACTACAGCATGTAAAAAAATAATATAAGCTCTGGCGGACGAAATAAATATCCTCAAATAATCGTGATCTCAATTTCCGTGAAAATAATTGTGATTATCATTTTTGCCATAATCGAGCAGCCCTAGCTCAAACATATTTGTATCCTGAGAATATAAGTATGTAGTTTAAACTGAGTTTTCATATCCCCAAGCACATGAACACATCTCAAAATGTTGATGTTTATGTATCTTGTAAAGGCAAAGTCATATTCTCAGTTTCATCCCCCCCCATGAGTAGCAAAACAGAAATGTGTATGTGTATTACTACGGTTGTTATTGGTTTACTCATATTAGGTCATTATGATGTTATTGGAGGTTTCTGTTGAATTTTCTTGCTGGTTTCAAATATCCTTGCCCCTTGACATCACCTTTGTTTTTGTTTGGGCGTTTTTGTTTTTTTTTCTCTTCCTGTCACCCACACAAGTAGCTTGTGATGTGTAGTCCACTGTTTGAAACGGCTGGTAGGAGGGATAGGACAACAGGATTGCACATGCCCCTTAATTCTTGGAAATTGGCTCTAATTAATTTTGTTATGAAGAGGTATCTGTTTGAAGTTTAATGATCACATGCTCATCATTTACACTCTTCTGGCTTGTCTCTTTTGAGATTTTGATCATCTATACCTCTTACATGATTTCTTATGAAGGATGGTCTACAAAGAAAATTGTGAATTTTGCACTACGGTCACGTCTAATCAGTCAAGTCTGTTATGTTAGAGCTCAAGGTTAGTTCCCCTTCTCCACCCATCATTGGTTCAAAAGTGTATGATGACTGAACAGGGTGTGTGGTGTTTGTTAACTTAAAAGGGACCCATTTTGCTCATTTTTAACTCAGTATTGTTGTTTTCTCTGATTCTCTATATAGTGTGTAGCTTACATGCACAAATAATGAAATTGAAATGGTGCTCTTATTTAGAGAAGTAACCCGTTTAACAACAATAAACTGAGTCAGGAATGGTGTTATAACTGGACTAACTTTTTGATGCAGACAAAATGCTCCACAACTACAGCTTATTAAAGCTGTCATTTATGAGAAAATTAAAGTTCAACCCTTTTTTTTTCTTTTCTTTTTTTTTTTTCTTAAAAAGAAAAAATGTATAGAAATGGTGGCACACCATCTGTTGTTGCATAGTTTCTTCTGAGTGTGTGTATTGGCTGTTAGACCGACATAACTTCACAGTTTAAGAGAAAATTGTTCATTTGCCTCCCTGGCCTGTGGACACCACAATACTACCCTCTGTCCAAGTCCTGCCCTGGAGGCCATGGGCCACTGACCATTGATGAACAGACCCACAGAGCAGTGGGCCTCATCTTCTCACTGTCTCGCACAGCTGAAAGGGGCCCAGTGTGTTCATACTTGGCACTAAACTGAATCTTGTGTGATCCAGTCGGAAGTGGACAGCTCTCAATTGGGGGTGAGAATTGTTAGATTTATAAGTTGATTTTTTTTATTTTATTTTTTTTTATTTGGTTTTAAAAAGTAAAAGTGACTACTGGGGGAGTTTTACAAGACTTTGATAAAACTGCTAAACTCACTGTGGGTGTAAATGCATCTAAAAGTGTGTGGTTTTTTGTTTGTTTTTTAAGTTACAGATCTTAAAAAAATGGAGGTAGAACATGAACGCTCTAATTTGCTATGTTTTTATTGAAGCCACATTTGACTTTACTACCTCAGCATCTGAGCATTATTAAAAACTTCAAATTACTTCTGCTCTAAGTGCAGCTGAGCACAGACTTTGCTGGGTGAAAGTTCAAATACACTTTGAAGTGCCCATTTGAGAAGCATTTGCATCCTGTTGATACTTGCAAACTGTCAGCTGACATCGGTTAGATTTAACTCTGATCTGAAAATGTATATGAGATACTAGAATGAAAAGGGCCTCCAAGCTGATGAGGATGAGAGGAAGGAGAGGAGTGAGAAATTTAGCAGAGAGGAGTGAAGGGAAGAATAAACTGCCTGTTTTTTTTGAGGCTTTTGAGTTTGAAATGCTGGATGCGAGGACTCGAGGAGTAACAGAGCAAAGACTGTCGTACTAGTCTGGAGGAAACGGAAGCTGCCCGCTGTGCGCCTCTTGATGGTTTCTTTTTCTGCGATAATAGAGACTCAGTGTTCTGTGAGTAGCCGCTGTGGTTTCAACTTGTCATATGTGCTGGTGGGGGTGTGGGGGACCCACCTGCTGGCCAAGATTATCGAACCAGATCACACACTCTGCATCTGTCTGAACTGCTCTTCTGAACCTTTTATCTTTCATGTCTGAACACAGCTGTAGTCTCTGTGGAATTTTGTGACAGAACAGTGATGTTGACTAAATGCTGTTTTCTTGGTGGTTTTGTAATGCGTGGAGGGAAGACAAATTTCAGTGTTTAAAATGTTTCCCTTCCTCCTTTTTGTTTATGAACATCAGCTTGTCTCCCTCCCACACATTTGTGAAAGAGAAAGTTACTGTAATAACATGTGAACTAGACTAATTGTAAAAAGCCTTGGACCTTTTTAAATGGAGTGTGGTTTGTGCTCATAACATGGATATTCTGACTTTTAATTTTTGCATGTGTTTTCTCTAGGACCCACACACTAAGTGTAGCTTTGGGCAGCAGCCATGTCAGGCACCTATGATGACTCCATGATTGATGTCTCCAGTGACAGCTTCTGGGAGGTGAGATGCATTAAATCTTTCCTCTGTTCTACAGTTTGTAACTTGGTTATTTACACTTTTTGGGGGTTTTTTTTTGTTTTGGTTTTTTTTTTTTTTTTAAATGGCTCAAGTCAAGCAAATGATTGAGGATCAATTATAATATAATTATGCTCTAAATCATTCTTGGGAGGGGTGTAACTGCTCTCCAAAAGAAAGCCCTTTAATAGAAAACAAGCACTGTAGTTTGTGTAGGGTTTGTTTTTTTTGTTTTTGTTTGTTTGTTTTTTCTCTTTTCCATCAAGTTTTATTTTCTGGTTTGCAGGTTGGAAACTACAAGCGCACCGTGAAACGGATAGACGATGGTAGTCGGCTCTGCACAGATCTCATGAACTGCATTCATGAGCGGGCGCGTATTGAAAAGGCCTACGCACAGCAGCTCACAGAATGGGGGAAACGCTGGCGGCAACTTGTAGAGAAAGGTAAGATTAAATTGTACATAGTTAATTTTTTATATACATAAAGATTTTGCTTTGTCTTAAGTAAATTGAGTGTAGTTTATACTGTGCCGGTTTGGTTGCCTTAAGGCTCTTTGGGTGAAAAACCTACAATAAATTATAATTATTGTAGCACCTCTTTCTAATATATTTATCACCCAGAACAATGTGCTGATTCATCATCAACAATGGGGAAATTTGAGCTAAAGTTGAATTGAAGCGTGAATTTTCTCAATAACTCTGCCGTCAGGACCTCAATATGGCACGCTGGAGCGAGCGTGGGCTGCTCTGTGTACTGAGGCAGAGAAGGTGAGCGAGCTTCACATGGAGGTGAAAGCAGCATTGATGGGAGAAGACTATGAGAAGCTGAAGAACTGGCAGAGAGAGTCTTTCCACAAACAGATGATCGGTGGCTTCAAAGAGACTAAAGAAACTGAAGATGGCTTCCGCAAGGCTCAAAAACCCTGGGCCAAGAAACTCAAAGAGGTGTGACTTTCAAACTTCTCATGAGCTCAGGACATTTGATGTGAGTTAGGAAAAGTGTAGTTTAGCTTTAATAAATCATGAGCAGCGTCAGCTTTACTCTAGAACTAAACATTTAGGTCAGGCTTCACATTTGAGGATTGCAAATCAAAATTGGGCTTTACAAATTTTAGTCTGGCACACACATCACTTTGTTCTCATTTTAAATTTCATCCTCTGGTTGTATGGTCTGTAGCCTGAAAAGACAGGCTAACAAGCTACCAAACAACGAATGTCACAAAAAGGAAATTTTAAGGGTGACTATCTCAAGAGGTGGAAGTACTTAATTACTCAATTTTAAAGACTGCTATATTTATCACAAGATGATCTCAGTAGTCAGAGAACATCATTTCTCTTGTGAAGTTTATTTTTAACTTTTTGGTTTTTATATGCAACCATGGTTGCATGTCAGATGATCAAAAAACAGGGTGTTAACACACCTTTGTTGCTGAGGAAGGACAGTCTTTCTTATGACTCGTATGGCATTCAGCAGTATCCCTCTGGTAGTTTCTTCAATTGTGCTTCTTTGAAGTTGGATAGGGCAGAGTAAAATTTCTCAACTTAAAGTGATGGCTATTATTTTGCTCATTTTCACTTTAATTTGTTAATGTCATTCACTTTCTATGGTCTGTGGGTCAAAAATGAAATGCACTCGGTGGATTTTGTTGTCTTAAAATTCAGTTGATAAAATCGAGCGAGTCCTTTTGTCTGCTTCAGGACTTTGGCTGCACAATTCTGATACAGTTAGCACATGTTGATAAACTGTTTGGTGCTTAGCAAGCTTTCCAGTTTTGCCATCTTATCTAAAGCAAGGAAGTCATTTATCATCTTGCTGATCACAGCTATAAATTTTACCCCTCAGTTCTCATGAATACATTTTACTGACTCAGTGGTAGTCATGGAAAGAAGAGCAAACAATGTCTTAAACAACACCAGAGCACAAGCACAGTTGTATCTGGTTAGTGTTGATTTTGAAGGTTACTGCCAGGCATAGGAAAGGAAATGGTGAGGGCACAGAGGGAGACTCCTTTGGTTGAAAATGAGGTCTATGTATTTCCTACTGCTACTTTTATTTTAGTCTGTTTACTTGTTGGAACCTTACCCCCCCTTCTTCCTGGGCATATTTATGACCGGGCATGTTGCAACCTTCAGGCTCCCACTACTTCCTGTGAGTATGATGTCACAGGGGATGGTGACATCCTGGCCTGTCATTGAGCAAAACTGTTTTGTGATGGAGATTTATTGATTGACCAGATGGGCAAGGACAAGCGATGAATGGCAGAGAGAAAATGAGGGTAATTAACTGGCTAGCTGACATGGGGGAAGTGGGTAGTGTGTCAGTATCGGACCTGCCTTCTAAACTGACTATGAAGTATTTTATTCATAGGCCCGAGCCTTCTTGTTTTGTTTTTGTGGACATTAAATATTTTTTTTCTATTCACAAAAGGGAAAACATGCAAATGTCTGTTATAACTTAAAAATTAGGGCTGGCTCTTGTTGTTTTGAGCCATCTAGCGTAATGATTCCAAATGACATTAAAAAGTTCTGCTTTTTCGGTGAACAAGTGCGGTCATCAGTTTCACATAAATGTGAAGGCAGCCACTTGAACATTTTGGAAGGCATAACAAATGTTGTTTGCTTACATACTTCACTGAAAGTTTTCACATAAATTAAGGCTGGGTAAAGAGGTGGTTATATCTTCAGATACCAGTGTTAACAACTCTTTCCACACTTCGTCACACTGTTTCAAGTTACCTGGTTACACACGACTTGTGTCATTTCCTTAATTTTACTTTAACCATCAAACCTGCAGGTAGAGACTTTGAAGAAGGCCTACCACACTGCATGTAAAGAAGAGAAGCTTGCAGCCAGCAGGGAGACTAACAGCAAACTCGAGAGCAACAATAACCCTGAAGCCCAAAAGAAACTCCAGGAAAAGGTGGAGAAGTGTCAGCAAGAGGTCCAGAAGGTACAGTTTCCTGTGGCAAGAGACTAAGAGGGAGGCTTGTAACTGGGAAGACATTTTGTTTTGTCCCCCCCCCCCCTCTTCTTAGCTGAATGTGGGGAATCTGCGTGAGTTTTTGTGTGTTTGTTTTGGGGTATTTTGTTTGTTAAATGTGATTTATCATTCCTTCCCTTCTTACCTTTCAGACTAAAGAACGTTATGAGAAATCCATCGAGGAGCTGAACAAATTGACCCCTCAGTACATGGAGAACATGGAACAAGTGTTCGAGCAGTGCCAGCAGTTTGAAGACAAGCGCATTCAATTTTTCAAAGAGGTGCTGCTGGAGGTTAAGCAGCACCTGGACCTCTCAACCAATCACAGGTCAGAAATGACATAACATCCCTTTCAGAAAGACACAGATGTGGGAGAAGTTGGAGCTTTGAATAGTTGCGCTTAAAGTGTATCCCTTGCCCTGTGTCATTGTAGATATCAGGGAGTTTACCACACACTGGAAGACACAATCTCTGGCACCGATCCTGAAGAGGACCTAAAATGGTTCCGGTCCAATCATGGTCCTGGAATGCCAATGAGCTGGCCCCAGTTTGAGGTAATGTACTAAAGACCACACGTATTTAATGCATGAGTAGGGGAAGGGTTGAGCTCTGAGAGCAATGGCTAGAGGTTTCCAAATAGTTTTTTACATCCGAACCGGACGCTCTGTTTGACTCCTGTCACTCTGAAGAGTGGGTTGTTGTTGCAGACTTGATGAGATGATGATATACACTAATAGCTGTTATATATTATTCAGTAGGGTAATTTAAGAATGAATTAAAGTACTTTAGGAAGCGTATCTTAAGAGCTGCGGGTACTCTTGAGTTGCAGCTGTAAGCACCACAGGTCAGAAATGGGGAAAACATCTGAATGAAAAAGTTTCGAGGGAAGTAAAGCATTTGGCCCAAGCAGGAGTTATAGCCTTCTGTCACTATTGGCATTGAGACACCAGAGGTAGAAGTAGATCTGTCTGCGCGTAAAGCTGCATGCGCTTCCACTGATACAATTTATAGTTTTTGAATACTCTTGCAGCCAACTTCTTCCACTTTTTCTGCCTGAATAGTGCTTATTTTCGGAAGTTTAGGTTGTTTTGTTTTTTTTGGGGGGGGAGTTAAAGAGGAATATATCTCCCCTTAGATTAAATTCTACACAACTGAGAACTGCTATCCATGGCACATTTAAGTAAACTGAATAAAACATCACTGTGTCTTCATTTCCCTGCAAGATGGAGATTTTTTTGTTTGTGCAACTGTTTCAGCAACATGGTTTAGGATTACATAGTGTTATCTGCATTAAACCTGTTGTACCCCTGCTTTCCTTTCCGCATATTTGACAGAATTTGGAATGGTCTCGTCATCGTCCCTCTAAGAGATGGTCCATTGTAGTGAGTTCTGCATGAGAGGGCTATTTTCTCACAGCAGCCACGGGGAGACGATTTATTCCCACTAACCCTCTCTCATTCTGTGTGTGCCTTTGACTCAAGTTGCCTTAGTGAAACTTAACTGAGACAAAACTTCATGTGGTATATGCAGACAATATATGAATACTATCAGTGCCAGTCAAAGGTTCAAGCTTCCTGACATTTACTTTTCCTCGATATCAGAATTGCTGTAATTTATCTTTCGTCTTTCTAACTTTTGGACTCTGACCCGTCATTTCAGCCTCGGAGGCATTCCTGCAGTTCATGTGAACTCTGCAGTGTCACATGATACTGTGTCATGGAAGACTTTGGTTTTAAGTTATAAATCAGAGGGGTCAGAGAAACAATTGGAGCTCTGAGGTTATGCTTGCATCCATCTAAGGAAGAATAAAATTATGTAATAACCTTCCTCTTTGGTTGAGGGGGAAAATTTGTTGGTGCTGTTTCTTTCAATGGGATATGGATGCTGCATATGTCTGTATATTCTTGACACACTCAAATATAAACAGACATGTATGCACAGTTTTTAAAATTGAGAATTAGTGGATCAGCTTGAGAAACGCTGAACTGATCAGGGACTCTGGGGCTGTGTGTTTAAGATGCTGTGCTTAAGTTCTCCCTGTACTAGCTGATGGGCCTGTTGATTCACGCTTTTCACTTGGCTAAGTTTGGCACAGTTGTACGGTTAATTTTTAATAGGTAATTTTTTTTTAATGTGTAACAGGAATGGTCCATAGACCTCAACCGAACCTTGAGCAGACGAGAAAAGAAGAAGCCATCAGAGGGCATCACATTGACGGGCATTAGTCCAGCTGGGTCAGACCAGCCTGTTCAGCCTGCCAAAACCAGCAACAGGTAGATGTCTGATAACTCATTGGTTCACTGTCTTTGTCAAACATGCAGAGAATAGAACATCTGTTTTAATACACACATCTATCCAAACTCACCACATCAAAGATGCTGCTGCACCCTGTGCATGGCATCCTACTCTTAAGGAATGGCTGTAAACTTTGCATGAGGAAAGCTCCAGGAATGATGTTCAGTTGTGCAGCCGTCCCCATGGCAACAGTAAACATTTTGATACAGATTGTTGGGATAAAGTTATCGTCAAGAGACTAAGTCTGCTGGTGCATACCTGAAAGCATGCCAAAAGTACTGTGAAAATACAACCCACGCACATGCTTTATAGTCATTCATATTGGTAGTGACAAGTTGAAAAAAGGGCCGATTAGTCGGACATCTGTACTTAAAGCAAGTGGGCTAAGATGTTATGTCAACTAATACTGTAATTAACAGACTCATTTTAAGATTTAAGCAAAATATCGACACAAACCCTCTTTCAGTTTATGGTGAGTGAGTTAATCCTCCATTGATCTAATACAATACATAAGGGATTTAAGGCTTCTATCAAAGTTAAATGTCTGGCGGTTTTTAATAATATGAAGGAGTCTTTCTAAAGCGATAAGATGGGAATGTAGTTGTCCCCAGGCATCTGTTAACTGTGTCGTGGCAACAGTACTGTGGACTTGACAAGTCATGGAAATGATGACAAAAGACTAATTTAGATACGCTCTATAAAAAATTGGTTAAATGATTTGTGTGTGTGTGTGATTGGATTTTATGGGCCTGTGTGTTTTGGGAGGCCTCAACTCTTCACATTCCTTTGTAGCTTTGTAATCTCTCAATTTAATGTGCAAACACCTGCTGTTTGCTCTTAACAAGCAGGAAGATGTGTGCATTTAAAACTTGTGGAGGAGTGTGTAGAGGAGCTGATTGAGGGAATGCCAAGCATGGAAAGTATTTGGCCTCTGACCACTACCATTGCACTTGCTGCCACTCCCCCATATATGCTGCTCATTGTTGGTTCTTTTTGAACATCAGTGAGTATGGGTACTTGTTTCAAGTCTGATCCCTATCTGTAGTCACAACTTGGATAATTGGATAATGGTGAAACTTGTTTTTGAGTCAGTGTCAGACTTGTCTTTTCTTTCCCTGTGTTGTTGGGGGTTTTTTTTTCTCTTTTGTCCTTGATTTGAAGTGTCAGACATGAATCAAACCGATTTTAAAACTCTTAGAGCTTGCTTAGAGCAATGTCAAGTCTTTTAATTCGTGATTATGAGGTCAACTTTGGATGGTTTCAGTCAGCTAAGTTGCACTGTACCAGACTCCCACTGCAGAAGTGTTTGCTGTAATAATGCCACAGGCTTAACTCGGAGAGCATAGCATGACTACGCAAACAAAGGCGTTCACATTTCTGTACTTGGGGCCAACTGATAACTGCTTCTGTAAATGTTTCTATAAACAGGGAGTAGGAGTCTTGTTTCCTCCGATACAGGCCTTCTTCTGGGTTTTTTTTTTTGCTCCTTGAAACACAATCACAATAATAGGAAGTAAACAACCCTCATGTGACTTCACAGGGTTTTTACACCTAAACAACCCACAGCTGGCAATTAAGGGCTCAGGGAGGGGCTCACTGATGTTTTTGATAGCTTTGTGATAATTATGACATGCAGCACTTATTAGTGGAAAAACAAGTCGCACTAGAATGCTCTTTCTGTCTGTTTAGTTTCATGCTTTGTTGATGTCACTCTTTCATATAAATATGAAAATTACTGGGTCTTCCAGCTGTCCTTAAACCTACAGTTATAGCCCCACCTCTCTTGCTGTTGCTAAAGGTGCAACAGAGGCAGAAATCTCTAACCTTCAGCTGACTAATACTATGACCTGATTAAATTCTAAAATAACCTTTTGTGCGTGGCTGTGTTTCATCTAGACTCATACACTCTATTATCAGGCTTTAGAAAATGTAGCCCATGACGGGAAAACGGTCAGACGGCCCTGCTGAAAAAGCAGGTGCACAAGCCTCTTTTTTTTTTTGGTTTTTTTTTTTTGACAGAATACATGATTCAGTGCTGGGAAGTGTTACAGAAAAAGTTGCTTCTTGAGTGCTGTCAGTATTTTCCCATCTTTTTAAAAATAGAGTAAAGCCCACATTGTTGCTCAATGACTTTTGTCTAACTCAGTTTTGAATATTTACTTAGACGGTCTTTGACTATGCCTGGCCTTGTTTGGGGTTGGATACTTAAACTGATGTCTAAACTCATTTCAATCAAAGAATGGCGTAAAAGATTATGGAGTCTGACTGTAAGAGCTCATTATAGTTACATGCACACTACTGGAACCTGCTGGGAAATCCATGATGTTGTGCAAGACCAGCCTTGTTTTGTTTGGATTCTCACTGTTGGGTTGAGGGGTTTAGTGAAAGGCTGATAGGACAACTTTAACTTGTGTGATGTGCTGATGAACTTCAAGTTGTTACCTCACTGGACACATGTTCATTTGCCCAACCATTTTCTTACATGCTTATGAACTTAAATCCCATCCCAGCTGTCGCTGAGCGAGAAGCTCGGTACACCATGGATAGGCTGTCAGTCCATCACAGCAATAGCCCTTTAGTTTCCTTTTGGACTAAAATATCGAATGGGTCGATGATCCAATCTTCTTCTGCTTCCTGTTATGCATAACTTTTTTTTCTTTTCTTTTTTTTTTTTAAATCCCAAGTGTGACTCTGTATGCATGCTTGTCAACAATCTCTCACTGTGTCCCATGTTGTCAGCCTGACTGTACCAAAAGCTGCACCTGCGGGCACGAACCCGTTTGACGAAGAAGACGATGAAGTTGGGGAGACTGCCGTGGAGCAGGAGATCACAGTCAACAGCACCGTTGTGAATAAAGAGGAAATAAAAACGTTGGTGAACCGGAAACGCTCACCTGCAGAATTTTCTGTTTCTACCTTTGCTACGTGGAGCGTCGTTGGTGTCGCGTCTCGTGCATTTTCCTTTTCTTGGTTTCTTCCCACTACTTTTTCTTCTCTCCTTCCTCAGGTGTCATGTTGTGGCTCTGCATGGTCATTGAATGGCATTGCACACAAAGCCTGTGTCTTTTCTTCATCCCTAACAGTTTCATGTCTTGCAGAACGTTAAGTGTATGCGCATGGAGGCGCATGCTTCTGCTGTGGAAATGCATTGTTTCTCTCTTACAGTCAGATCTGGATATTTGAAATTGGACTTTTTTTTTTCTTTTTTTTTTCTTTTTTGTGCCAGCTGATAATTTAAAGGCTCTTTAAAACAAAATGAGTAAGTTTTGTGTATCAACTTTTATTCATTTGAATAACAGTTGTACCTAATGGGTGGAGGGATCCAAAAATAGCCTTGAAACCATAAACTGGTCTGACTGTAAATTATTCTTGTTGGTTTTTTTGTTTTTTTCAGCTTTGCCTGCCAAGTTCCTTCTGATGTTTAGGTGGCTCCCTCTCCTGGTCAGAGTTCAAACTCCAATCATGCGTTGACAATTGTGATTTGTCTTGCTTCATCTTGTTGTGCTTTGGTTTTTGTTTTTCTTACATGTCACGTTGATGGTTTCTTTTCTTCTTTTTTTTATTTTTTTCTTTGCTTTGCCCCCTATTATTTCTCTCTCTTCTCCATAGACTTCAAGTTCTTGTTGTCAGTGGCATATAAGCAATTTTGAAATCATTTATCCTGCATCAACCAAATGCTTGCTTTTTAGTCTTGCAGTTGTTTAGACTGACCCAAAAAGGATAGTGTTTTTGTTTTTCCCCCTCTGGATTTGGAGATGCATTTTTATGCTTTTGGGTTTACACTGTACTGTATTTGTTTTTTCTTCCTTTTTTTTTTTTTTTTTTTTTTGCCCTAACCAAACTCTTTCCACCTGCCTTGACGGTTTTTCTTTGACGTGTGAGGCAAAATACCAGGTTTTTACTATGTGGTTGGTCTGTCTGTCCAGTGCAAGCAGTACGGAGAAGACTCCAGACTGGTCGGATGAGGACACAGCTGGTAACCCTTTCTCCACCAATGGTGAGGGTAATCCATTCGAGGAAGAGCCGGCCTCTCCTGTTGTATCGGTGCCTGTCAAAGCTCTCTACGACTATGAGGGACAGGAGCAGGATGAGCTGAGCTTCAAAGCAGGTACATGACTAAAAGGGGTCAGTTTGGCCTCAAGTAATCATTTATGAAGGAGATTATGATTTCAGCAATGTACACCTATGACCACTTCATTAGGGTACATCTTAGAGTTGGACCTCCCTTTGTCTTCAGGGCTGCCTTAATTCTTCATGGCATTGATTCAACAAGGTGCTAGAAATGGCCCTCAAAGATTTGAGTCCATATTGATATAGTTGCTGGAGATGCATACTTCCATGATGCAACTCTGTTTAACCACGTCCTAAAGTTGCATCCCCATTATTAGATTGCGTTCTGGTGACCTTGGTTCTGCTCAAAAAAATTTAGAGCTGCATATTTGACGCTGCTGCTGTAAAGTGACTTGATTCATTTTTTTTCCTTTTTTTTTTATTTTTTATTTTTATTTTTTTTTTACTTTCAATTTAGAATGACTTCTGTATATGTACATTAAGATTGATTAAGATTTCTCTCTCCCCGTTTCCAGGTGATGAATTTACCAAAATAGGTGAAGAAGATGATCAGGGCTGGTGCAAAGGCAGGCTTAAGGATGGACAAACAGGCCTCTATCCTGCTAACTATGTGGAAGACATCCAGTAATGAATCGCCACAGATGGAAACAAATGTGAAGAATGTGTTTTATGAAACTTGACAGGCTCTTATTTTCAGCCCTCTTTTCCTTGTTTGTGATGACTGGATTGGAGTTGGTGGAGGACAGAAGAGAAGGGTTTGTAGAGCTTAGGAGGACCACTTTAGTCACTTCTTACCCGTGGACACTGTTGGAAACTAACTGCAAGTTTCCAGAAGATTTCAGGAAGATCCAAGAAGACTTGCTGTTGGTGTAAGATGTTACTTATAATCCCATTTATGCTGTTACAGAAATAGCTATTCAAGTACATATTAGATAAGACTGAATGAAATGTGTGAATTTGGATCATTTAAAAAAAAAAAAAAAATATCACTGAGATTACGATCTTACAACTAGTCTTGCATGCGAAACACAACCTTGATATGCAAGCCCGTTTTTAATTCACCAACGGAATTGAACCTTTTTTTTTTATAACCAGTACTTGCATTTCTCCTGAAAGAATCCAGTCCATAGATGTTTTTTATTATTTGGCCTGAATTGTGAGATTCATGAACTTCATTTTAAATTAGTGTTTATATTCTCTCATTTCTTTCAGGGTTTTGATTTTTTTTTTTTCCCCCCATTCAGTTTGTAACCGTTGTGGTTGTTGTTGTTATTTAGTTTTTCAAAGGAATGGTAAAGGTCCTCAGTTCACCTTTATTCATGTGTAGACTTCCTTTAGTGACTGCAGCTGAATGTATTTGTTTTTACTCATGGATTGTTCACTTTTACTGCGTCCACTGACCCCACTCCCTTTCTCACATACCTTTCTGATGATTGTAGATATTTTTCATGCAACACTGAAAGTTTCTCACTTGAATCTTCTAAGTTCAGTTCTCGATTCTTGTCACATGCCAGGTTATGGGAGAATATTTTGTTTGATTTAGATTTCATGTTCTAGCAATAAAAACACAATTGAATATTGTATTGCATATACATTAATATTAGAACAAATCAAACATTCTGATTGGATGATGTGCAGGAAATTCTTAATTTATGATGCCACAAGTGCTTCTGTTGTTCTGATGCTGAAATGTTGTGATGGAGAATCAGTTTGTACATTAACTGAATGTTTATGGCAAACGTTTATCGACCGTTACTGCTATATCTGTAAATATGATTTATATTTTCCCTTCAGAGGGCCATATGAGTTGCTTTGATCACAAAATGCTTTGTGAAAAATTAATTTTCTTTGGGACCTATGCCATTGCTATCACAGCCTTAATGCACAGTTTGCAAATATGAGCTGCACATCGTTCACAAAGAGCATTCATAAGTGCACCAATTAAATAACTATTACTTTTGATGCCTTCAGGCTACAGCAGAGGAGGAAAAAGTTTTGTTTTGTACATCAGTGAGGAAAGATGTTTGAGTGTTGCTAGCAAAATGCAGCGACAGTTATACTTGCACAGAAAGGTTTGTAATTGTTGTCCCACATCACAATAAATGAATTTACTGGGAAAATATACAGATTTTCTTCTTATATTTTCACTGAATAACTTCAATGAATTGAAAGACACTCAGAACTGAGTCTGTTTCAATAGGTAACACAAACCGTTACAGATTTGATCACTATTGTACTTTATTTATTAAAAGAAGTTTGACTGCATCTAACTTTTTTTCTGTTGCTGTAATTTTTCTTTTAATATATCGTTTTTTGTTTTGAGGGGGTATATCCTTACTAGGCACCATATGACTGTAAAATAAGTTTTATGTTGTAGCCTTATGCTATTCTGCAAGACGAGGATTTAAACGATACAACAGAAAGTTGAACAAATGTCAACAAACTGGAATATGCAGTTGGATACTGTGATAAATCTGACTGTTTTGTTTTTAAGGTTTGGCATAAAATCCATCCAAGACAAACTAGACTGGATGCAGTTTTCCCACACACTGCAGGTTTCTATTTATAGTAAAGTTATTTTTCTCTCTCTCTCTCCATTAAATAGTCTTGACACTGGTGTATTCCCTTGTGTTTCAGCTGGTATGATAATCATTTAGGTTTCCAATAAACATGCATCCACAAATCGCATCTCTTTTCAGAGACACATTTCATATGACACACATGTTGATATGTTATAAACTTAGGAAGTATTGGACATTGTTTTAATGGGAACTGGGTGTGTGTTTGTTTTTAAAAAGCCGTATAGCCCCGAGTCACTGCATTGCTTTGTTTGGTTTTAATGAAAACTTAATGTGTGTACAATATATTAGATATAAAGTGAAAGGTAACTTGAGCTGCTCCCTTATTTCCCAAGTTGTCACCACAGCAGATAGATCTGCATATTTCATTTGGCACAGGATTTAGCTGGCTACCCTCCCATTTTTCTATACACTAGCTTGGGACCCCCTGGGTCTGGGTGTCTCTTCTCACACTCGGGGAAACTCAAGTAATCAGAGTTACATGTGACCTTTCACATATAACCTTTTAAGCAATACACCACAGAGCAACTCGATAACACTCTAAAAAAAAGTGTTATTGTATTCCCTCATAAGAATCAATATAAAACATCTAACACACATATATATATACACACATACCTTGACGTTCCCTGTAGGGGATGCCACAGTTGATAATCTGCCTCCATTTCACCTTACTCCTAGAATTCTCTCCTTATCATTAGTAATAATGATCATATTAATAATAAAAAGGTGCCACAAAAGACGGGAAATGACCTACCACATTCCAAAATAATAACTAGATTAGATTAGATTTGAGCTTTATTTCTTTTTCGGTTCAAATGATCCATTTTTCATGCATTTTTTTTTTATCTTATTGAACTATTTTATCATATTTTAGTATTTTTTATTTAGTGTTATTGTATCTTATTTCAAGACACGTTATTAAAGTTATATTGTTCAGCGTTGTGTTTAATGTTTTGGCTGCGGTCACACAGAAATGCATGAAATTCGAAGATACGTAAGCTATCGCTGTCTAAAACTACATTGCCAAGAAGCCTTTGCGACAATAACACGACCACGGATCATTTCCAGCCAATCAGCGTCCGCCCATGGTGTTCTCTTACTGACGTGTCGGGTTTAGTTCAGGGGAAAAACACGGGTCTGCTTTTGATGCTGTTCCTTTAACCGCCAGACACCAACAGGTAGAAAAATGGCAGAACCCAGCAAGCAGGACATTTCTGTTATTTTCAAGCGACTTCGTTCCATCCCTACGAATAAGGTGAGAGTTAAATAAATACCAGAAAGACGGGTGTATTCTGGTGCACAAGGAAGTCCGCTGAACTAAATATCTGACACGTCGCACTTTATGGGAAACGCCACAGCTGGCTTCAGTTTGCGACCAATTTAACAGCTGTCTGACGTGTGTCATCTTTAGAATAAGTCGGGTTTAAAAAAAACGTGTTTTTAAAACGTGCAGAAGCAAAATATCACAAAACTTAGAAATTGTAACCTGACGTGACGTGACGTTAGCAAACGGGGTGACAGCTAGCTAGCTACATTTTGACAGTTTACATTAGCCGTGTTTGTTTAAAGCTCAGTTTCTAAGGCCTTTTCTCGACTCGGGTCATGTAAAAGACAGAACAGAGATCTTCAGGGACAAAGATGTGTTTGCGACTCGCTGCTGTAACTATTATCTGTTGATCTCATTGCGAAATTAACGCCACTTCACCAACAGCTGTTTGAGTCGGTAGCACAGTCTCCTGTTTATCCTCACAGCTGTTGCTTCGTGTAGTCGGACACTCTTCACGCTCTTGGCCTCCACCCGTGGACCATTCTATAACTGCGTTAATTTGAAAAGAATCCATGCATAAAATACTACAATACCAAATATACTCCTGAGACAAAATGTAAATCCAGTTGTTGAAACAGTGGTTATGAAATATTTTATATAACACGTCTAAATATAACAAACAAATTTCCAGCTTAGAAATCCACTTCTTCCAGATCCACATGTGTTTTTAAACATTTTGTTAACATCAGCATATTTTAAAGAACATTATGCTCTGTAAATTGTGTCCAACAGCACATGTACGACCTAATTCGCCTTAGAAAGGAAGAGATAAAACAGTAAGATGACATGTCATGTTGTTCATGTGCCAACACCATGGGTAGACCAAAGGTCTGTCCTCTGACATATTTTTTTTTCAATTTTTTTTCAATTTTTTCTGACTAGTTAAGTGCATTAGTCTAACCAATACAACACTATTACTCATATTACCAAAGGTTCAAAGTATCCTTTATTTATATGACCACATTTATCCCTAGATAGCATATTTTTCTGAGAAAACACTAATAACAGCTATGATTTGCAACCCTGTTGACATACATATAAAATAAACATTTTAAAATCATGAAATATTATTAAACAACACTGCTGTGGTCCTGAGTATTTGTCACATTTATGTCATAACTGCAAATAAAAGTACTATATTTCAGCCACGTTAACTTGTACAATCTTGTTACTCTTATTTTAACCAGGTTACCATATAATTTTTACTAAAATGATCGTAAATGCTTTGTTGTTGCTTTTTCATTCATAAGGGCTTAATCTGTTGCTTTTGTAAAAGTTTGTTGTACAGGGTCAAGTTGTTTAAAGTGATTAAACTAAGTATGCAATATAAGTTCATTCACTTAATAGTCAAGAATTTATTAAACACTATTTTAAAAATCTCTTTTTTTTTTCTGCCATATCGGTTACCAGGTTGCATCAAGCATAGTATGCAACAAATAAAAAGTGCACCTTTGATGCCTGAACTGGCCATATCAATTTATTATTTGTTTTTATTACTTACATCAAATAAAATATCTTTAAATTAGCTATATTTAAAAAAAATAGTCTTCTCCAGTTATAGAATGATCCGTCTCTTTTGTTAATATGATGAATATCTCGTGTGTTTGTATATATTCTTGCTCTCTGTCCCTCAGGTTTGCTTTGACTGCGCAGCTAAGAACCCCAGCTGGGCCAGCATCACCCATGGGGTTTTTGTCTGTATAGATTGTTCTGGGACTCACAGGTCTCTGGGAGTGCACCTTTCATTTATTAGGTAAGTCAGGAATTATATATTTTCCTTGGAGTTGGAGGTAAATGGACTGGTGCTTATGTCAATGTGTGAATGAGGCTTGTTGTAAGAAAGTTCTCAAATACAGTAGAAAATGTATAAGTGCTTTTTATCTAACATCACACACTCCAATAGAAGCATCGGGATCTTTGGGTTCAAGTTTACTTCAACATGCAGGGGACAGAGCTTCCAGATTTTCACTGGGAGTTACCAGGACATGCAAGACTAGAAAAGAGTACATCAGAGGGATGGCTCAGGCTGAGCAGTTTGGAGACAAAGTTAGAGAGGCAAGGCTGAGCTAGTATGAAGATATGCAGCGCTGAACAAAGGATGCTGAAGATGAAGCTGCCCAATGGGAGGAAAAGAGGAAGAAAACGGAGAAGGTGTTGGTGTGACTTAAGAGGGTCCCTGGGATAGGGTGAGATGGAGGCAGATGATTCGCTGTAGCCACCTCTTTGAAGTGAAAGTGGATGTGAATGATTATTTTTCCGTTTTTGCAAACAAAAGTGCCTTGACTCTGCTATTGCTGTAAAAAAAATTTTTAAATTAAATTGAGTTTTATAAAAAGTTTTTGTTTTTTTGCAGTATAAGAAATTAGGACGTGAAAATATCAGCTCGTTAGGATAGTATTAAACCCTTTAAAAAATACAAGACAACAGCAGTCATAGAAATGAAAAGAAGATAAGATATGCACAGTGTTTTGATCAAATTCCCTCTACCTTTTATAACCCAAACTGCAAAGATGTAGTGCAATATGGACTGAACAGCTCAGAAGTATACTCTCAGCCAAAAACAGGCCTTTGTAGGGTAACTAAGCATGACTGGTGTTCTTATTGTTAAGGCATAGGATTGTGTTACCTGTGTAATAAAAGTACATTTTTAAAAAGATAAGCAATTTTTTAAAAAAAAGAAGAAAAAAATAAACTGTCATTTCAAATGACTACATTAAAAGTGTGTAATGTAATAGTAAAGCTATTGTAGGCTGCTTCCTTATTTTGCAATCATTCACCACAACAGGTAGCTTCACATGTTTGACTTGGCAGATTTTTATGCCGGATGCCCTTCCTGACCCCACCCCAAAGGGATTTATTTTTCCTCCTGGACTTGAACCAGGGATCTTTCACTTTTCGGGCGAATGTGTAAACTACGAGCAGTAATCCTGGATACGGTACATTAATTGGACATAACAATCTCTAGAGATTTATTGTAATTTTGGATAAAAATAAATGACTTAAGCATCCAAAACAAATAAAACAGAATAAAGATGATTCAGATACAGTGAAGGATAAGTGGAACAAAGGCAGCTCAAGCAAGGAGATGGGAGTGGATAGGGTTCTGTAACCTCAGGTGTATGTTTCTTTGTTCAAACACACATTCTTCAAACCCTGATCCTGTTGTGCCACACAGGTCCACCGAGCTGGATTTTAATTGGTCGTGGTTCCAGCTAAGATGTATGCAAGTTGGAGGCAACGCCAGCGCAGTGAGTAAAATATCAGCACACTATCATCAGGTTAAAACTCCAGCAGTGTGTGACACAAGCGTGATTCTACCTGTTTGCTTTCCTGTTTCTTATTTGACCTCTCGGTGTCAGATTGCGTTTTTCAGTCAACATGGCTGCAGAGCCAATGCCGCCAATGCCAAGTACAACAGCCGGGCTGCACAGCTGTACAGAGAGAAGATAAAGACTTTAGCCACACAAGCAACCAGACGCCATGGCACTGAGGTAACACTGACAGGCTGGGTTACAGTCTGAAAACACCTCCACATTTCTCCTCAAGGGGGGCGGGGAGAAACCAACCTGGGGCTGAGAGATTAAATTTATTAAACACTGGCTTCCTGGGTATTACCCATATGCTTATCACACTTATAATAAACGCTCATATAATTGAATCATTTTACGGCTCTTGTTCTCCACAGCTGTGGCTGGACAGTCAGGCTCCTCTGTCTCCAACATCCCCAGACGACAAGCAGGTGGATTTCTTCAGTCAGCATACACAGGTATAAGTGTGTGGTTTCTTCAATTGGGATTTAGTCCAGAACTTTCCACAGATATGCTGCACAGCCTGACAGCGATTATTAATTTCACTACGTGTGTCTGTGTCCTGGCCAGGCTGTTCCTGAAAATCTGAACATGGCCAAAATGAGTCTGAGCCCCTCCGCATCAGAGAAGCTTTCAGAGCCAGAAAAAGATGAAGACCGTAATGGTATCTTTGTGTCATTGCTTAATAATCTGATTTATACTGACTCACTGCAGTTTTATATTAAAATAGTTTTGTGGCTCATCACATGTTTATCTTCAGGTAATTCAGAGGAGGGTCCCAATGTGGAAATGCTCAGTGTTTCACCAAAAGCAAACCCAGGTTTGAGTCAATACTGTGCATGTTTAGTTAACTCTACCTAAATGCCCGTAAAAGTCTGTCTAAATATTGACTTCACTCTGTCTGTTGTTTTCTCAGAGCCCTCTTCTCTTCTTAAGAAGAAGCCAGCAGGTGCCAAGAAAACAGTATGTATAAAGTTTTATATTGGTGTCATAATAAGTACAATAAAACTATTACTTAAGGGAGGAGGGTAATATTCAGAGAAAAAATTCAAGTAGTGTCTGAGATAAATTTTAAGACAAATAGAAAGCCAGTCACGTTGTCTTACTTTACAAGCTCGGGTCAACCTGATTGTACTACACACCACAGCCACATAGGGAGGGCCACATTTACACCCAAGTTAGGCAGTGCAGCAGTAGTCACTGCATACACACACATCACATGATTGACCTGAGGGGACACAAGAACAGGTAAATAAGGTGAATCACAACAACAGTAGGCACCATTTACTGCCAATAAAATTAATTATCTTTACACGTTTGTTTTAAATAATGAATTGGGTTCCCATTCCACATGTCCCTGCAGTTTGCACTGCCCTGCTGCCACATGGACCCATTTATAAGAGGTTATAGTATAGTATTATGAGAGGTTGTTTTTTGTTTTCTGAATTTTCCTCTTTTAAAATATGTTTTTAATCTTGGAGATTCTGAATGTTATCTCAGAATACAAGCTTCTATCCCAGCTCGGTTATCTGTTTTATTTGGTACATCATTGTAATGTGTATGTTTGTGTGCAGCTGGCCTCAAAGAAGGGCGGTCTGGGCGCTCAGAAGGTTAGCAGCCAGAGCTTCTCGGAGCTCGAGAAGAAGGCGCAGGCTGCTGACAAAATCAGAGAGAAAGAGGAGAGCTTTGCTGGTGCCAAGAAGAACGTTACAACTGAGGAGTCCATGTAAGAATACCCATAGCTTTTTATTTCTTTTTCATTCCATCTTTCTTGTTGTAATCACTTAATCGGAAAGCGAATGTAACTTTGTGTCCTCTATGGCAAGATGAAATCCATGGCTCTTTCTTCTCTTTACCTCAGGAGAAAGGGGCTAAATCATGTATATTACTTAAGCTATGCACCACATTTGGCTCGTCTGTTTCCATCTCTGAGCTTACCTACTTTTTTTCTCCTCAGTGCTCCATCCATGCGGCTGGCCTACAAAGATTTTGAGCAGCAGAGGAAAATCGAAGAGCAGAAGCTGAAAGGACTAGAGGGGAAAAAGAAGGAACAGGCTGAGAGACTGGGCATGGGTCTGGGCATGAGGAGGTAAGACAAATTGGGAGTGAGGGGGGACAAACCTCTAGTAGATTTAAGTTGTTTTTTTTTTCTTTCCATTTTAATGTGTCTCACTGACATTTTTACTCTTTCTTGGCTCTTCTCTGTAGTGGAGTTTCTCACTCTGTGATGTCAGACATGCACACCATCCAGCAGGACAATCCAATTGGAGCAAAGACCACCAAAGGACGGCGATTTATTGATGAAGATGACGATGAAGGGTCCTTCAGCTCTAGGTCAGATAAAGTTGATGTTGATAATATATAAACAAAATGAAATCTTGATACTGTGTTAATAATATTACAGTTTTTTTTTTCCTTTTGAGTGAGACAGAGACGGGTATAACAGTAAAGCTGTAAGAAATATCAGTAGTGAAGGTAGATGAGTTTAATAGTTGGAGTTGACTATCCAAAGTAGCGGACAGTGGCTAAGAGAGGTGAAGAAGAGAGTGCAGGCAGGGTGGAGTGGATGGAGATAAGTCTCAGTAATGATTTGTGACACCAAGTGTGAAAGGGAATGTTTACCAAATGATAGTGAGACCTACTTTGATGTGTGGTTTGGAGATGTTGGCACTGACAAAAAGCCAAGCTGAAGATGTCAAGGTCTTCATTGGGAGTGAGCAGGGTGGACACGATTAGAAATGAGTACATCACAGGGACAGTTCAGTTTGAAAAGTTTGGAGATAAAGTCAGAGAGGCAATGCTCAGATGATTTGGACATGTGGGTATATTGGACAAAGGGTGCTGACTATGGAGTTGCCAGGCAGGAAGAAAAAGAGGAAGATCAAAAAAGAGGTTTACAGATGTAGTGAAGGAGGACATGCAGGGGGTCGATGTGATAGGTCAGATAGATGTTTGTTTTTTCTTAAAAAAATTACTGATGCAGTTTGATTAAAACATATAATATTCTAAATTATCATAAATAAAACTGAGTATGGTACAAAAATATATATGGTGTGTGAAAAATGTAGTAGCTCTTAATGATTAACAGTTGGGGAAACCTGAAGTGAGCATTTGTTGTGAACATCCGTAGCCTTTTTAAATAGGAGTAATTCTTCTTGGTGCTCTTGCACTCAAATATATCAGTTATAGACGAATGAACAACTTGGCAAAGTTCATTCTTTCAATTCAGACTGTGTTGATATTGAACTATGTGTTGCAGAGCTCTTTGTTCTTTCTGTTTCTAATATTTCTTTATGTTCAGAGTCATTTTCAAGTTACAGGATTAATGTGGGATCTGTGAGCACTTCCCTGACACTGTAGCATGATGAATGGGAGTCTATAAATCTAACATTTGCATGCTAAACAATGTGCTGACTGTGTAAATTTGGGTATCTTAGTGTCAGCGTACTAGTAAAGTCCATTATCTCTCTTTTTGTTCCACCTTATATTGTTCTTGTTGGCTTCTTTCTTCAGGGTTCTGACTCGCTTTGAGGACCAAAGTGAAACCTCAGACAGTTTCTCTTCACGGTGGGGCGATGGAGATGATGGAAGAGGCTGGATGAAAGAGAGCAAGAAACCAGAGCCAGACTTTTTCTTGTCCTCCACTATAACTTCATTTGATGACAGGTTAGTTGTTTAAACACAAAACTGAAGCTTTCTACATGTTTTTATGGTTAGGTTTAATGATTCAAAGCAAATTTTAGTTAAATACAACAATCAAAATTAACAGCAAATTAAGATAAGGGCTTTCTTGAATAAATCTGATTATGTTATCAAATAAAATAATCAGATTTATTCTATTTTATCAAATAAAATTACTAATTTACAGAAAGAAATTTTTTACACCTCAGCCGCAAAAGGCTGATGGGTGACATGCAATAACTCGAGAAGAAGGCAAAGTAGAACTTTCAACACATGATAGCATAAGTGCGTCTGCTAGCTGGCTGAGGTGTAGTGCTGGTGGTCATCAGTGTTTTTTAATTGTAGCTTAAGATACTTTTTACACAAAGGTAAGACTCTTCAGTCTTAAATATGTTTGGTGTAATTTAATTCAGCGTGTTCTTTTAAAATACACGATTTGTGCTTAAAGTACTTCTTCCTGTTGTCATATTATTATTTTTTTCTGTTGGTAACTGTTATCAGGCCCACAACCAGAAGGAAACCAGAAACAGCAGCGCTCTCAGACACGGGAGAAGCTCGGAAAAAGTTTGGAGATGATGTAAAAGCCATCTCGTCTGATATGTACTTTGGAAAACAAGACAACTCTGAGGTATACAAGCACAACGTGGACACACATTCTAAACTGCTTTTCCTTTGATTTCATTTGGTGAATACTAGACTGGGAAATCACATTTAAAAACTGTCTGTATTTGTTCCTTGGAACTTGAGATAAGCCTGAACATTAGTTCCTGAAGGTCTTTAATTTAAATAGAGGTTCTTAAATGGTCAAACATAAAACTTGGTTGAAATTTTCAAAATTTTCTGTTGTTCAGTATGAAGCCAAAACCCGACTGGAGAGATTTTCTGCGAGTGCATCCATAAGTTCAGCCGATCTGTTTGATGATCCAAAGAAGCAGACTGGTAAGACATGACTGTCTCTTCTTTTCTTAGCGCTTGTATGTTGAGCCGCTCGGAGGAACATCTTAGTATGGTTGTTTGTTTGTTTTTAATAAGATGCCCACTTGTGTGATTCTTTAAAGTTGGATTTAACAACCTGTTAACTGTGTGCTTTTCTGATACATCTTCCAAACTCCAGGTCATTTTGTCAGTAATGAGTAGACAAACACGCCACAAATTCAGCTGTGTTCTTAATTTTATTGGGGACTTCGGGTCACTGATTAATGCCGGTTGCTAAAACTGTATCATAAGAGAGAAACTGCACATGTTGGATGCTTGTTCCAGGCTTAGTTAGGTGGTGGTCACATTGAGAAGACAATCTTGGCCTATCCTACTTGGTGTTACACTGTTGGGTGGAATTTTAGGTGGAATGGAGGTTTTCCACCTAAAATTCCACCTGTCTGATGACCCTTGAATCTCTGCTAGAATAATTACATAATAAGTATTGAACTGTGATATAGGTTGTAATATAAAATATTATGCCCCTGAAATTATGAAAAGAAGTCTGACTTTTGAGTTTATTGTGAAGCTGTGCTGAAATTGTGAGTAATTTATCTCACATACACTGAAGTTTTGCACTAGCTCCAGAGTGATTAACCATACCGACTGTGCATACTGGTCGAACTGGTCTCAACCCTTGTACCTCAGAGGAAATCTAAATACCGTAAATTCTTTCATATGATCATGTGAAAAAGCAGGTTTCACAAGACTGAAAACATTAAATACACACTTACTGCTTCCACAGGCATTAAGAAGGTAAGTAGCCTCCAGGTGCTGCTAATCAAAGGCATTTGAGTAATTGATTTTGAGCAAGTGTGAACACCTCTGTGACAGCAGACGTTTTGTTTTCCTGTTCTGGAGCATTCGGGGTGAAAGATATCAGCAATGATCTTAAAGAAGCAATTGTGAGTGGAAGTCACTAGAAGGTCAGACCATTCAGGATTTGTAGCATTTTATTATTTTTTTTAGTTTCTCTGTTTCTGACTCTACAGGCCTCAGCATGTTGGCATGTTAAATGTTAATGGTCATGACTGAACAAGTATAGTTTGTTTGGAAGGATTGCCAGTTTAGGATTGCAAAGTTGCATCTGAACAAACCACGAGACTTCTGGAACAATGTCCTTCATACAGATAAAACCCAAAGTAGGGATGTTTGTTTGGGGGGGCTTGCAGTCACAGAGACCCCCATGAATTCCTCTATATACCAAAGTATTGTAGAGTCAAATGAGAGGCCATCTGTCCAAGAGATGAATCTTAAACAAAACTGGGTCATGCAGCAGGACGATGATCATATCACAGCATTGCTTTAACGAGCAGGCCAAAATTTCTCCACAACAATGTGAGAGACTTGTAAGATCATACAGGAAATGATTGCTTCAAGTTATTGCTGCTAAATGTGCTCAGCAGGCTACTGTACTTTGTTTTACACAGGACTGCAGAGAGTCTCCTGAAAACTGTCTTTTTCACATGACTGTACATGCGAGTGGCTTCTCCACGAGTCCTCGAGCTTTTTGTCTCTCTGTCTGCTTGACTTTTTGCCTCGTGTCCACAGCGAGTTCATACCGTCTGAGCAACGTACTGCCCAGCGCTCCCGACATGTCGCAGCTCAAACATGGAGTGCGCTCAGTTGCAGGAAAACTTTCAGTCATGGCCAGCGGTGTAGTTAGCTCGATTCAGGTCAGTCAGATATTTTCCAGTGTATGATACAAGTTCATCAATAATGACAACTTCTCATGGTGCTTTTTTAATTTCCTTTTTTCAGGATCACTACAGTTCCTAAGTGAACATGTCGGATTCACCGTCCATAGGTATCTTCTGTTTGCCAGTTAGATGACCTTTCTAGTGGGTGCTCATCGTGGGAGAGTTGGGAGGAAAATATAAATCAATGCTATGAGCAAGTCTGCAGAATGTACTTGTATATTGTATATCTATATCTAGTTTTTTATTAGATGATGTATATACATAGTCGTAGTCTTTGGGATCAAATCAAGATGAGCAGAGCACAATATTTTTCGGTGGAATTATTTTCCCCCTGCAAACACCTTGAAGGAAGATATTTGTGTATATACAGCTGTGAAGAATATTCAGCCTGCATTATGTTAAGTTTGCTTTGAGCTTCGGGGTTTTACATATATAGAAATGCTGTATGTAGCAGTCTGAGGAGTTAGGAGGGCTATCCATTTGATTCCTTTACCTCCGTAAGTACTTAATTCAGTAACTCACTCATCACGTGCACTTTGTAGTGTTGTTTTTGTGCTTTTTGTTTTTTTGTGCCCCTTCATGCAGGGTTGAAAGTGTCCTTTCTGTCCCCAAAGTGCACTTACATTTGCTCTTCCAAAGGCAGGACCAAAAGCTGATTTAAAACAGAGGCCTTGGGGCAACAGATATACTTTTAGTAAGAGTACTGTAAGTTATGTAAACTGATGCGTCACTAGCACATAAGTGTCATTATCCTGTGAGTCGCAATTTGTTGTTGTTGTTGTTGTTGTTTTGGAAGTCATGCAGAAATGCTTATAAAAAAGGAATGTGATATGTCAAAGTTTTAAGGAGTAAAAAAACAATTATTATAAGATATAAATATTTCTTTAAAACAACAAATGAGCTTCGTAAAAGCTCCAGTTGCATAGAATTAGATGCTATGAAGAATTCAGTCATCATTTTAAGAAGTAATTTTTGTTAGATTATTGTTTTTTTTTTTTATGTTCTTGAAATAAATGCCTAATCATCTTGGTAAATCTCTAAATTGTACACTTAGTATGACCCTTGGATCGCCTCTATAAAACTTGAAGGATTTTTTGATGTGCTGAGACCTTTTATGTAGCTTTCAGGCCTCGTTTCCACTTTAAAAGAACAATGTGAATGATCCCTTTAAAACCATCAGTTATTTTTTTCTGTTACTTTAACTGCCATCATAAAAGGTTTTAACTTTATATATGCTATTGTTTCTAAACACAGTAGAACTACAGGCAGTGCTTGAGTTAGATTTGATATCTGTTCAGAGTAAAGCTTGCGCTTTTGCCTTTTTTCTGTCCTTTATCATTGTGCAAAGTTAAAGGGACTAATTAAAGCCTGGACTCCGTCATAATAGTACAGACTAATTTCTGAGAAGCTGGAACATCCCAGGAGTTTGATTTGACATGTTCAAATATGAAACACTAAAGAGGTTCTTAAATGGTCAAATATATATATATTTTTTTGGGTTTTGTTTTTTAATTCCCATCAGTAAATGCCTTAGTCCGGAGATCTTTGATTTACACACCTTCTTGTTGTCTCAATCTAGGTATCTTTTGCACATGTGTTGGAAATTGTGTGTAACAGCTTTTGCTTGGTTGCACTCTAGTTTTTGCCCCTAAGTCGGCATATATGTTTTGTAAGATTGTGTCTCTGCCGTTCTATATTGTTACATGTAGGAGCTTGTATAAGCTGCATGGCCCTTGTAGCCCTCAAAATAAAGATGTCAACACATCCTGAATTTGAGATGGATTAAGAAACTTGTTTATTAAAACTCTAGTCCGCTGTGAACTGCTACATACAATCTTGTATAGGGGTTTTTCATTAATGAAAAAACTTACAGATAGATTTTGACCATTTTTGACACTCAAAATGTAAGTACGACTTTTGGGAATATGCCAAATAAATGGTTTGTGCTTAAACTTTTACTGTCTTCATTATTTGTGTAAATGTGTCCGTGGTCCGTGTGCCTGCAAACTTTTTTTTTTTTTTTTTTTTTTTTTTTTTTTAGATTTAAGTGGGATTTGTTTTTTCTTTTTAAGACATCTTATTCACAGTACTGTGCAAAACTCTTAAACATCCAAGAACCCAGCCTGAATCTTTGAAAATGCCAATGACAGCACAGTTTGACAGGCATAAAATATTTTTGCATTAACAAGATGATTCTCAAAGAGCTATTGGCAGAAAACCTTTATCATCAGGGTGAGTAGTGTGCCCTAAAAAAACTGGAGGACCTGAGAGATGCATCTGGCCCTTCTATTGTCCCACCCACTCAATTTTCCCTTACCTACTGTACTTCCGTATCTTTTGTAAATTTCAGTGTTTCATGCAATTGATGCATTCATTTCCAATTTTTCTCTATAAAAATATAAGACTAAAGGGTGGCTCAAGACCTTTGCGTGTTTTTATTGGGCAAATATCACTTCGTTAAAAGTCAATAGTATAAACCAGATAAAAGCAGCAGTTCTCGCTTTAAAAAGCTGAAACGTGATCTCGTCTTTTTGATAAATATCTTAAATAATCAGTGAAAATTTAAAATTATATCAGTAAAGTTCTCTTCCACATCGGACAGTCTATCAAATGTTGATCTACTTCTGCAGACATTAATCCACTTTGGCCAATTTCAGAGCAAATTCTGGCAACCGCTTACGTGGCCGGTTGTTGCGTTGATAGTCGTGCGGTCATTGTCGGAAATTTGATGTAAAATCAAACAACACTGCTAAACCTGGCGAAAAGTTGCTTAATTTAAAGGTTTCATCACGAACAAATAATCAGTTACTGGAGTAAAATGTTTCTCTTTGTGTTTATAGCATTTAAACAACTAAAAGCGTTGGTGCTTTTATCTAGTTAAACATTACAGTATTAATATTTACGAGCTTACGAAGCACCCCTTGAAGGTCGCATTTTTCCAAGGAACAGGGGTAAAGAAAAAGTCCTTTTAAAGCGCCAACACACGCACACTCAGTCCGTTATTTTTTGCGTTTTTGAAGTTGATTTCTACATTATGAACTTCTCTCTAAAACAGGAGTCTTGTTTTTCTGTGCAAGGTAACAAACTCTGGTAAGCCCGTTTAACTCTCTAAATAGGCTATAAAAAGATAACCAGCGGTTTATTACTGCGCTAAAATGCCTACTGAACTAAAGCAGAGGAGGAAGACGCAGGCACAGAAGCAAAGCGATGAACCATCAGAAGGCTCAAACGGGAAAGAAGAAACGCAGAAAGTGAAGACTGAAGCAGGAGACAAGACAGGAGCGAGCAAAACGTCCTCGGGCCTGGACATTAGAAGTGTAATGTGCTTGTTGTCGCTCGCAGCTTGCGGGGCTCTGAGCTGGTAAGTCCACATATTAGTATTAACGCTTTCTTCAGAACTACAGAGGACTTCTCTCTGAAGGTTTTCTGACTTTCAGGTTGGTGCTGCAGCAGAATGAGAAGTTTTCCCAGATTGAGGAAAAATACAGATCTCTACACGGAAAAACTTCCAGTCTGTTCGACATGGAGGAGGAGATTGTCAGAGTTTCCAAAAAGGTACGTTTGATTGACTGTGGAGCAGATCCTCAACGTGTTTGGACCATGAATCTGCAAATTTTGATGGGTGTGAATGTCAAATACTTAGCGATCTTTAAATATTTAGCCCGACGATAAAGAGTGTAATTCCCCTAGAATTACATCGATTTTAAGTGTATTTTACATGAAATTACGATGTAATTATGTATCTATAAATATTTACTGCTAGATACAGTAGGATAAGGGTGTAATAATAATATGTTTTTAGGCAAGAAGAAATAATTATACTCTAAGTATCAGCGTAACTACTTTTAAGTAGTGCTAACTCCAGGTATTTCACAGGAAAGAAGAAATCATTCCGTTTTATGTCATTTTAAGTTGCGCCCAAGTAATTTTAAATAGCCCATAAGTAATTTTAAGTAGTTTATAGCTTGTATGTTAACATGTATTTTAGATAAGATGTAATTAGAAGAAGTTATTATACTGTAAGTACTATGTGTAGGTACGTTTAAGTAGGACAGCACTTCAGATATTTTACAGGAAATAATAACTTAGTTTTAAGTAATTTTAAGGTTTAAGGAAGTTATGCATTACTGAAAATTAGTTACAGTGTAATTATTTATTGGCTCCTGTAAAAACGTGAACTGTTGCCCCTTATTCTACTGTATCTAGTAGGTATTTGTAGGCAATTATTAATACTTTGGATAAAATAGATTTTATTTGAGCGGAACTGCTTTTTAACTACACACTGTATTATAAAACGCTACCTTGTTTTTAACTGGACTCTATGGCTACCAGATGTTCTTTATTTCAACATAGAATTTAGTTCTTTGGGCAAAACAAATAAACTTAACAATGATTGTGTTGTATTGGGTTGCTTAAGGAAAGCTGTGAGACAAATATTCCAAAATCTGGACACATAAAATCCAATGTGTCTGTTCACCTAACTTCCATTTGAGATTATTGCATTTCAGCCCATTTGAATTTAAGTTTAGCAAAGAAAAAGTGTCTTCTTATTATATTTTATTTATTTTATATATATTTTGTTTAACCTCAAGGGAGGGGAAAACTATGGTTACATTTTTTGCCGAATTAAACTTGCTTAGTCTTTGCATTTCTTGGGACATTCTGGGGTTTTTTACTCACCTCAAACATATGCAACTAACTTTAAGCATCAAGTCAGAAGGGATGCTGCTATACCTTTTGTAAATTCCTATGTTTTAAAAACACCTTAAAACCTTCCAATATTACCCAAAGTCAATGACAGGTAGAGCAGAAACAACTGCTTTGATTTTTCTTTGTTTAAAAGATGTCACCTGAATTTGAACCAGGACCTGTATTCTCATGTGATACTGATTTGAACCACAAGATGGTGCAGCAAGCCTTTATTTACCAAAGCAAGTCATTAGGGGTGCATTGTTATTTACAATTATGGGCACTTCTGAAAACATGGAAGTACACCCAATGTCAAATACTGCCCCCTGGTGTTGAAAGATTTAGATAACTACAGGGATAATTACAAAAAGTACCTTTAAGTTAAAGAAAGGGAGAAAAAAAATCTATCTTCATGAATTTCATTCTTTTAAAGTTGAGTTATCACTGCACCACTTTGTGTATTATATGAATACTGCGGATCATAGAGCTCCCACAGAAACAGCACTCCTGTTTTATGTTGCGGCTGCAGCTTGCCGCCTCTGAGGATGACCTACAGGATGCGGTCTCCACCATCTCCCTGGTGACAAAACTCCAGCAGGACATCTCCACCCTCCATGCTGCTGTCACGACAATACAGGCTGATGAAAGCTCTGCCTCCCGTGATCTGGAGAAGGTCAACGCCCACTTCCTCAACGTGACCGAGACGTGGCAAGAGAGTCTGGCAGCCATCACCACCGATCTCACCTCACTCAAGGCCGAGTCCAGGGACACTCATGCAGGAGCCACAGAGCGGGTGAATGAAGCCGAGCGGAGAATCCGTTCACTGGCGGAGAGGCTGGAGGAGCTCAAGGACAGCACAAAGAGGAACGCCCGAGCTCTGGAGCGCACAGAGGAGGACGACGTCAAGCGAGCGCAGGATCAGCTGGACTGGAACACCAAGCAGATCCACAAGCTGGAGGAGCAGATCGGCATCCTGAACAAGAGGGAGGCCGAGCTAAGCTCTCAGCTCCAGGAGCACATTCCCCGTGCGAGGGCCTGCGAAGAGCATCTGCCGGAGGTAGAAGAGGCGGTGCGCTCCATCCTCAAACTGGGTGGAGATCTGAGCGGGATGGAGAAGAGGCTGGAGGAGGTGACCTTGCAGGTGTTCGGCACCGAGGACAGCATGCTGAAAGCAACAAATGAAATCCTCGAGATCAGACAGGAGCTGGACACCCTGCAGGCTCAAAACAGCATCATGAAGATGAAAAATGAGTTGTCCGTGGTTAAAGAGGCGGTCCGTGAACTCACCATGGTGTTGAGGGAAAGTGGGGTTGACAGCCAAATGAACTCTGACGCTCTGGAGGAAGTGGAATGGAATGAGGAGGAGGAAGAGTGGGAGAAAGATGAAGAGGATAAATTGACCGAGCCTTTTCTTGATGACCTCACGGAATGATGTCATTGTTGTTGTTTTTTTGTCCACTAGGAAAAATGAGTAGGAATGTCCTGTTTAACTGTAGGCTGTAAACCCCTTAAGTTGAGTTTAGTAGTATCTCTGTAAACTTTGTACCTCACTTTAATGTCAGAAAACTAGCCTGATGTCACCACGAGCTCATTAAAACACTGCACTGTATTACAGAAGTCGGATACATTTACCTTTGTGCACCATTTTATTAAATATGCCCGACTACTCTCAAGGTATCCATATGCACTGATACAGTTTTAAAGCATTAAATGTGCCAGTCTTTGTTCAGTCTTCTCTGTTTTTCTCTATTTTATTTAAATGTAAACTGGATATGTTTTAGGTTTTAAAGTTTTGATTGAGAACAAAGCAGTTTCATATCACCACCTTTGATGCACGGTCGTCATTGTTGACCATTTTCTTTGCGTGTTTTTGTTGTTTAAACAGCAAAAGATCCCCTGATCAGTTGGAAACAAGCAATAATGAACAGGGTCAATAAAATTTCTAAGTGTTAGATTAGATTTTAAACAGAAGAAGCTTTGCAAATATCAAGACAATCCACATATTTGAATGTCACATTTCCATCTTGTTCTTGTGTCACCTGTTGTGTCACTAAGCTTATTTAATAAAACAATCTTTTTTTTTGTTTTTACAGAACAATGTCTGATTTGTTTTTTCCTCTCAGTGAATCGTCTTCTGTCCTGAGGTGTTTGTTTTTTTTTCCATTGGGGAAAAAACATGTCCTGTACCACCTGTTTCAGTGTGAGAGCGTCCAGCTGATGCTAGAGAGTCTCGGGGGTCAGCGTGGGGCTCTGAAGTCTCAGCTGGAGGGTTTGGAGCAGGATGTAGCTCGGCTGAAGGAGTGGGCTACTGGCTTGACTGAGAAGAGGGCTCAGCTTCAGAGCAGCTTGACTTCACTGAGAGAAGCTGTGGGTCAGATCGAAGCACGGACATCGACCATCACAAAGGACTTTACCAGCAAGGTTATTGATGATGTTATTGATGTCGCGCCTTTTCTTTTTCTAGAGTGCAAGTGTATGCAATCGATATTGCCGTTCAGTATGTAGCCCACTGAATTCAGTTAAATACTTTTTTGGGGGTGGAGGGGTGAAAAACTATACCTCAGCAACACCACATTTACATTCAAGGTCTAAAAGTTTAAAAATAGATGAAAAGCTGCTATATATTTCGCGTCCCTTTATAGGTTAAAAGTAGCAGTATTGGTATCAGCAGTACGGCCGCGTATTTATTTGGTTCAGTTGATACCCAAATTTGCAACAAAAAAGCATGTTCACCTCTGCAAAAGATTCTTTTTGCTTTTTTACAGATAACGTAAAAACTAAAGACTAAATACTTACACAGTGCTGTGCAATAATGCAAAGCCCTTACAAAAAAAGCTTTCTTAGTGCTGTTTCAAACATTTCTTTTTTCCCTATGGCCATCTAGGTGTCGTCAGTGAGGACTGATGTGCGCAGGATGGATGGCCTGCACTCTGAGGTGGAGTCTCTGCTGACTCAGGTGGGCGAGCTTGAAGACGAGGCTGCTCGGGTGGAGCACAGCATGGTGAAACGCATCGGGGATGTGCTGGCCAGCAGCATCGATCGAGTTTCCAACCTCCGATCCGCATCTGAACGCAATTCTCAGGCCATAGAGCAGCTCCGCAGACGCATCCCTGAACTCGCCAGCGCCGACGAGCAGATCTCGGAGCGCTTGGTGGAGCTAGAGAGCGGCCGGGCCCGCGTGATAAGAACGGTGACCTTTGCCAGCGACCTTAAACCAAAGGTGGCTAATATTAGGAGAGACTTTGGCGCGTTTGAGCCCCAGTTGTCAGACCTGACTCTTCGGATAGGACGATTAGCAAAAGATCTCATGGAAAGACAGAGAGAGATCGCTGAGCTTCGACAGACATTAAGCAACCTCACCGCAGTCGAGGGAGATTTGAGCGTCACAAGTAAACAGGTCAACGAGATAGCTGATATAACAGACATTGGAGAGATACACAAGCCAACATGAAAAACAAACCGACATTGGCTTCAATTCATCGATTTAACCCGATTACCTGTCATACTGCTGTTTTAGAACAAGAACAAATACTGAAATAAATCTGTTTTTTATTACGAATAAAACAAATGTGAGCATCTGAACACCCTTGAAGCAATCACTATGATCTTAGGCTGTCAGCTTTTCTAAATGGCGTAATATGATCTGGACCTCGAGGATGAAGATTTGATCGCTTTATTGTTTTTCTTTGCCTGGCTCCATCTAAATGTGTCAGTTTCATTACTTACCAAGTCAAGAATCCCCAGTAAAACAAATACAACTGCATGAAAAGTTTGCTGGTTTTGCCCCCCAGAAGAAGTTTCACTTACACAACTCTCTTTTTTACCTGCACAATTCTCTCATACATTTCCATCGGGTTTCATGCCATGTGCGATGGCTTCTCCTCCTCCTTCTATAATCTCCCTGATATTCAGTATGGGCCACATAATACTAGCTTTAGGGGATACAGCAATACAGTAGCTTGACATTTTGAGGAATGTGCCTATTCGCGTTCCAGCAGAGCTCTGCAGAATCTCTCGTGTCTCCAGGGTAAATGTGAATTACTGAGTTATAGCTCCAGTTATTGGTTCTGACTAGCCCTGGCACAATCACCGATTGCAAGTAGCCACGACAATAAAACCACCTGCCACATATTGTTTAGATCCCCCTCTTCAAACCAGAAAAGCTCTGACTTGTCAAAGCTGGACAAAGGACCTCAGTGGGACCCCTGGCTCCAGTGACCTGCAGGGTGCTTGTTCGGTTTATCTCACAGATGCTCGATTGGTTAAAGTTCTGTGGAAATCGGAGGCCTTAGAAGCTGTGTCATTCTTCTCTATTCATTTATTGCGCTTCCTCTTTATAGTTTTAACTGTCAATTAACTAATAATTACTGCAGTTTTTAATCCTCTCCAGTCCAGCCTCCCATTAATATAACGCTTAAATTACACCAGTCTAAACACCATTACTACATCACACACACACCATACATTTTCTATAGGAACCAAGTGTAACGAAAAGCAGCGGTTAATTGTTTTCCCTTTTTCTTTCTACCTTTTTTATGGTGCCATTATATTTCTCCACTTGCGTTCATGTTTAAGCATGCTCTTTCATTGTTTTCCAGTGTTGAAGCTACCTTTTAAGAGTCAAAGTGCTATATTATGATTTTGGTTCATCCTTTGAAATAAGCCATTTTAGATCCCTTTCTTTTTCCCTTTAACCCACCAACATCGGGTTTAAGTGGATTAGCTACCCTAACTGACATGATGCAAAGCCAGTAAATAAGGAAAGGATTGAACTGTTAATCAACCACTTTCATGGCTTATTCTGTAGTAGTATAAGTGATGCAGATATCCCAATGTACAAGAATTTGGTGTGAGTACTGCACTACTAGTGTGTCTTATGAATGCCAGAAAAAAAGGTTTTCCAACTTAAAAAGATTTTATAAAGCGATGATCTTTCAGTGCCAATGGTTTTAATGTTGTGTCTGATTAGTTTGGTAGTCCATGACCCTTTTTTAATGTTTGGAACATTGAAAACGGCTGTGCTGCCTGTTTTCATGTTCCCCGTGTTTACACTGTGCTCAGAGTGATGTCAGTAATATCTTACTGACATCACTCCCCACGCATCAGTTCTTCTTACAGCTTTTACTTAACACATTGTCCTAAATCGTCTTACCTTTACCATTAAAGTGCTACAGACTTGGAAATCCAGTTTGTCACTAGAGATATGCAGTACATGAGTGTTTCCTGATGTACTCTCTAGATTACTTAAATAGTTTATTGATGTCCAAATGCCTTAAACCAAAACAGATAGCTTTGAAGTATTCCAGTGAAGTGGTCACCCAACCACAGCTTTAGCTGTTGCTGAAGGAAGCGCCTTCCTATGGAACACTTGGTAAAGAGGCAAAACTATTTTTCACTTGTATAAAGAGTTCAGCATCTGGTATTTATTCATTAAGAGGTGAAAAATCGTTGCCTGGACTCCACAGCCTTGTCACATATTATTAATAACACGATGCTGACGTTATAAATAATGTAGCGAAGACGGATTATGATTTTTCCCCTCTCCCCATCAGCCACTGGGTAAATCGCGTCTCTTATTTTTTCATTCCCGCCCTTCCTGTCAATACATCACCCATGATGTAATGAACCAAAGTAAGAAATCATTTTATCACGTAGTTCACACCCAGAAATAATTCTTCACAATTTTGAGTTAACAAGGTTTTTTTTTAATTCTTAAAAAACAAAAAAACAAAGTGAATAAAAACGGGGTGCTCAAAATGAGCTCATTGATCCACTGGAAAGATTAAAAAACAGCTAACTGGCACAAAAACGGTGAGTTTGAAAAAAATAATAATAGAAAAGTACAGTGCAGAATGAGTGTGGATTCACAGATCAGCAGTCCGTCTCTGCCCCTCTCATTCCTGCTCTAACTGTCCTCATGTTTGTTCTTTTCTAGTGTGCAACTTCATGGCATCAACCATCAACTCTGAAAAACCTTTCTTTTTAAAACTAGGAAAAGCTTGTCACCCGTTTGGATTCATTATTGACCCTGTTGTTGCATGTTTTGACATCCCGATGGGACATTGCTACCTACTCCTCCGTGATGTCGGGCTGTTCAGACAGGCCTGCCAGTGACTCTGTGGTCTTCTGCAGGGCTTCCTGCAGGGCAGCGATAGCCTGATCGTGGCCTTCTAGCTTGGCTGCTTTGCCTTCCAAACCAGCTACCATGTCTCTTAAGTTCTCCAGCTGCTCGGGCTTCATCCTGCTGCTGTTGTCCTCCAAAGCAGCGAGCCTCCTCTTCAGGTCCTCCACCTGCTCACCCAGGCTGGAGTCTGCTGAAGGTAACTCTGTCTTGTCTCCTTCTAGAGCAGCTATACTAGACTGGAGATCCTCCAAACTGCTCTTCACTGCCTCCAGTTCTTGCTCCAAATTAGTTTTAATGTCCTCCACAGCTTTCCCCTGTGCAGCCAGACTGCTCTCATGTGCATCATGCTTGTCAAACAGCGATTGTACTTTGGAGTTGATGTCTGACACTGAGGCAGACATTGAAACTACGTTCTCCTCCGATGCTTTGACTCTGGCTGCAAGGTCATCAGTTCTCAGCAGGGCCTGAGTAGCTGCTTCATTCACTTGCTCCTCCACATTACGAACAGCATCGGCAAACTGCTCCATGCCACTCTCTAGCATCACAGCCTTGTCCTTCAGAGCCTGGAGCGAAGCCTCGGTTGAAGACAGAGACTCCCTCAGATTCCCAGTGGTGTCTTGCATCACTTTCCTCACTGTCTCAATTTCCTGAGACACTGAGGCCACCTCTCGGTTGCGAGTCTGGAGCTCTTCCCTCACTGCACTGATCTGCTGTCTGAGGGAATCGCCTGACGAGTCAGCTGCATCTTTGGCTGTTTTAATTTCAGCTACAGCATCAACAATGGCCGACAGCTCTTGTTTGATGAGAGCGGGGTCTTCGATGTCACCCAGACGGGCTTTAAGATCAGCCAGCTGGCTCTGCGCCTCACTCTGAGCTTCAGTGAACTCTGCAACGCTGGCTTTAATGGACTGGCTGGCCTCAGCTAAGCGCTCCTCAATAGTCTTCTCCAGAGAGGAGAAGTCTTTCTCTCGAGCCTCCTTCACGTCATTGATACCCTCTGAAAGGTCCCTGAGTAGATCATTCTGGAGCCTCTGAAGGGCCTCCTCCACTCTCCTCGTCTCCACCTCGGCTCTCTTCATTCGACTGATGGCCCCCTCCATCTCCACCCGTGTGATCCCCAGAGATGACTCCAGCCCATCCACAACACCCCTCAGAGACTCCACCTTTACAAAGAACATTGGAAACACAAAGACAAATTTTACTCATACACTCTTTTCTCGCATTTAGATGTTGTTAGATTTCACAGTCTACAGCAGTGCAAATGAAGCTCAAATTCAAAGTATAAAAATGAAATCTCTACAAGGTTGAAAAGATGGTGCAGGAATTTTTCAGTTTCTCAGTATTGTTATTCCTTGAACTGTATCAGAGCTTCACAGTGTAAGATAATCTTATACTGGGGCTCAGTGCAGTCCCTTGCTTCTAAAGGCCACACATCCTTTTTACACAGTTTGCTTCTGATTTATCAATCCTAGCAAACAGAAGGTTTGCAGTGGGCTGCTTTTATGTGCCTGAGATGAATCCTGTCTCCTCTCTCTTTTTGGTATCATTCAGATCAAGCACAAGAAGAAATGATATATGAAACAAGCCTTTAAAAGAGTCTCAGTCTCCACTTTAACAGCCTAGATATGAATTTTTTAGCAGGGCTGAGTTCTGGAAAAGATATTGCCACCTCATGTTCTTTGTGAAGCAAGAGAAAGCTGAATCTCTGCATTAATGACTGACCTTGTAAATCCATAATCTGCCCTGTCCAGCTTTGCAATCAGAAACGACTTGTTCTCATTCAAAGAAACCCGCGATAAAGAAATTCATAATACTGTAGATGACGTATTATTGAGTGGGTCTGAAATTTTATTACCCACTCACATTTTAGAGCTCACAAACACAGACTCCTAGAGTACATGAAGTAAAACCACATTATCCACGTCTATATAAGTGCATACGCGTTTATTATAAGGCGATGCTTCCTTTTAGAGTTCTGGAAGATACCTGGATAAAAGAAAAGTGGCGTTTAGAAGTTCTATCCATTGATTCGTATTCTTTCCTACCTACCTGTTGAACGACACTTTCCACTTTGCCGCTCAGTTCTGCGCTTTGCCGTGCGCTCTCCTCGTGTTTTGCGCTCGTCTGGCGGATTTCATCCAACGCTTGCTGTACGTGAAAAGCAGCGAACCCTGCAGCACCTATTAACGCCACATAAAACACCGTGGTCACAAGAAGACTCAGGCAGCTGCCTGGCCGTGGCGACCCCTGAGGTCCGGGGGCACTCGCTCCGTTGTGGCTGCTCTTTTGGGTTTTCTTCGGCGCATCTTCTTGGCTGGATGCGGCGCTCTTGTCGCTATTCTTTGGCTTTTTCGCAGTCATGGTTAGCGGGAGCTTTGAGACGTGTGTGTGAGAGAGGGCTGCTAGTTTTGCAGTCGTGGATGGAGAGGCTTTTCAGTCCAGTCCCACTGACTGGACCAGCAGCGTATCAGTGAGCGCTTCGTGTCTTTCCCCGGGGGGGCTTTTGCGCTGAGGTATGCGGATGGGGGTTGTCCCATGCCCAACTCCAGGCTCTGAATGGGTCTTGTCCGGTGACATAAAACACTAGGAAGCAATGAATGATTAGTGGGCTGCTGCACTTATAGTAAATTTTTATATTAGGCATGTTTTTATCTTTGCATCACGTGTGATAATCGCATAAAGACAGATTTATATAGGTGTGTCATACTCTCATCATTTGCAGAAAAACTGTGACTTTTTAATAACGTGAAGGGGAGAGAAGAAGAAAAGATTTATCAAAGTGTCAGTCGGTGTGCCATCCACACACTTTTGTCTCTATTATTCTTACAAATTTCCCCTAATGCTGTTTTTTTTTCTTTCTTTCTGCTGATGCAAACTTTCTGCACACAGCTCAGTGAAGCAGCGCAGCGCAGGGAGGGGCACTTTCTTCCCTTCCAGTTTGCTCCTCCTTTCATACGTGGCAGCTGAAGTTTTGGCACGGCAGCAAATCACGTACTGTACACGTTCGCGCAGAGAAGAGACATCAGAAAAGTCACAGAGTCCGTGTGCAAATGTCAAAGTCAGTAAACGCATTATAAAGGTGAATAAATCACCAACAGTTCAGTGGTCTTAGTGATCTTTGTGGCATCGTTAAGTACTCATTCATGGTATATATTTTAATAATGTTGTCATTTTATTCTTTAGGGCTTTCTAATCTGCATCTTTACTGATAGACTTTTATTTTATTTCTGGATTTTGTTCTTTAAACCACATAACGAAAACGTTCTGAGACAGAATATTAGTAATTTTCTGCCCCCTTTCTTAAAAAAAGACGTAAAAAACGACGAAATGGTCACATTCTCGGTTTGAACACTAGATGTCGCTAAGAGAGCGTTTAGAGTCAAAACCAGAACAAGCATTGTTCTATACATGAGAGCATTGCATGTGCAGAACACTGATGAAATTATTGACGTTCGTATTAAATTAAATTAAATTAAATTAAATTAAATTAAATTAAATTAAATTAAATTAAATGCAACTGTCTATGTTTCCCTAAATCTTTTATTCAGCAGAGATGTGCAACATAACAATTTTGCATATAGAAAAGTACAACAGAATTGCCAATAAAAGGAAGGAAAATGGAAATACTAAGTCAGAAGATGATAAAAAATGTTAGCATGTATATGTGGAAAAAAACCCCTATAAACTTAAAAAGTGGAATGAGTTACTGCCCTGTTTTATTCCAGAGGGAGAGCTTATAAGTGATCCAATTCACACCTTGATTTGTTCCTTCAAAATGTACTGAATAATAATTGTGTATTAAACTCAAATGTGCAACAAGTTTAGACTATTAAGAGAGTTAAAATAAGTCACAGTGTTACCTTTTGCATTGGCATTGTCTTCTTTTTGCATTTTATGTTTTGTTTCGTGATGCTTAAATGTTTTCGGTTATTTAAAGCTGTGGACTGCAGGCAGGCCAGTTCGGCACTTTCAACCCTCTACTTCTACTACAAAGCAATGCTGTTTAATGGTCTGACGTTTTTAATTATGAAGTTAAAAAAGAAAGAAAGTTAATAATAGTGACAATGATATTTCGTCATCCAGAGGACCCACTAGTGCCTGTATAGTTGGTTGAAAAGTTTTGTAGCTGTCTTTTAAATATGAGTATAAATAGCTAAATTCAATCAGTGGACAGATGTTACGTGGTATAAATTATGCAAAATGAGGAAAAGATTAATTTATCACGAAAATCTTCATTTCATTTAAAAAGTTTTTAAACTTTTTTTTAAAGTAATTTGATAAATGTCTTCATTTATATCTTCGACGTTAATTGAAAAAAAAGAAGGAAATTGAATAAATAAATAAATGGATAAACCACTTTCATTAAAATTAATTTTTAATTTTAAAGACATGAATTGAAATTACATCTTCCTTAAAATAGATCACGCCTTTAAAAATCCTGAAAGAAAAAAACAGAATAAAAACGAAATTAAAAGATGAGACTTGTTTGTTTTATAAAAACCATCGTAAAATAGATTTTCAGAATAAAGTAAGTTACATTTTTAGAACATGTAGATATGACAATGAAAGTACGTCCAAAACGTTTATTAATCGAGACTGAAGTGTTGGCTTGATCAGCATATACTTTTAATATAGTTTAGCAAGCCCCATTTTAGATGAAATGATAAAATCATAAAGAAGACATTTTTATATACTGTAAAACGTTACCACTTGTAACACTGGCACTTACCCGGCTGTGCGTAATGGGAATTTCCTAGCAGACTATGAACCCCGCATTAGTCCCCGCCCAGACGCCGTGACAGCAGACGCCGTTCCGTCCAGGTGTACGGTGTGAGGTATTGCAGTGATCCGGACCGTTTCAGACCTCTGTCGGTATATTTGCGTGAAATGGCCTAACGCGATATGCTTTGTCTCCGAGCTTGTCTGTCACTCGGACGTCCGAAATGCCGTCTCTCCGCCCATCTCGCCCCTCGTCTCCCAGAGAATAAAGCGGGAACACCGCTAACATGAACGCGGGCGAAGGGATCAGGCTGTGAGCTGTGAGTTTAAACCTCGACTGGGAAAAGCTAGCGGTTTGGCTAGCCAGCTAGCTGTGACACCCGGCGGCGGAGGCTCGGATATCGGATTTGCGCAACCATGGCGGGGCTCATCAAGAAGCAGATCCTGAAGCATCTCTCCAGGTCAGTGATGAGTTGAGGTTAACGCTAGCAGACAGGGAGTGGAAATAAAGCGACGACGAATGGATCAAGCTGTCACAGGCGTTAGCTAGCACCCACAAAAACCTCACTTTAATGAGTTTATGCTTGCCGCACATAGATGAAGGGTGTCCTGTAATTTAACACGTCCCTCCGTTGACTGTCACTGTGCGTTTTTGAGTTGGTAACCCTCACAGGACCTGAGACGTGGCTACCCAGCTAAGTGTGCTAGCACCACGCGAGCTGCTAATCCTCCAGACACTTGCTAAGTCGGGTTGAACCAGTTGTGTAGTTGAGTCAGATTGTTAAAATCAACAATCTCAGCGTTCACCTCAAGGTAGCTTAACCTTCAGCAACTGCCTCGCAGGTAGCTAGTGGGCATACAGTCAATATAGTAATGGGAAGACAGGTGCAAGGTACAGGTTTGTTTACATGGGTTTAAACCCCTTTTATCTGGCACTTTTCGCCTTTGTGTTCCCCTATCAGGCATCATACTTGGTGTACATGGAGCCTCAACGTCCTATTATTGAAGATAAGGTCATTTAGAAAGTGAAATATATTGTCCTGCCCCCTAACTCAATATATTTAACAGCATTTTGCGTCACTGTTAAACACCCCACCATATTATATCTATGTTGCCCTTTAATGCCTCTCCAAACGTCATGGAATAGTAATGATGTAGTAGCGTTCAGCTGTCATATTTCTAATCCAGATCACTGATGAGTAAGTCATGAAAAGCCTACAAGCATGCAGGTGGACTGGTGCTTGGAAAGAAAGAAAAAAGCAGTGAGGTGATTGTCCTCACTGATAAAAACCTTTGTTGAAACTGAGGAATTTGTCACCCTGTGGATTATATCAGCATTTGTTATTGCTGTGCCCTTGATGTTCTTGCACAGTGCTGCAGTTAAAAATTAAAATGATCTGCTGCACACCACTTATTAGTGGCACGTCCTTCAGCATCCTCATACGTGGTGTTGTGTTGAGATAAGAGCATGTACATATGACTGTGCATGCTGTCAGCAAAAAAATAGCATCTACTTTGACAGGAAATGACTGGAGGAGGCGTGATGTCATCTGTCTTTTTGCTTGCCGTCCCCTTTTTTTTTTTTTTGTCCTGGCCTGATTGGTCTGTTTCTGAGCGGAAGAAGACAGTCAACCAGTCCTCCATCTTTCAATTAGGTGATGTCATGATCGAGGTGCTGGTGTCAGAATACCAGAGCAGGGTGGCCCTAAATGCTCTACCGCACGAGTTTGGCCACAGCAGGCTGTGATTCTGCATAGATTCTCTCTGCTTTATCACCATCATTATCTGTGTGCTTACAGCTGCAGTTTATGTTGTGGGTGTCAACAACTTAACTGTTGCAGAGGACATTCCTCTATCAAATACTGTCTGTGACTAGGACTGTCACAGTGAGCCAGCATCACATCTTCACAGTTCACTGATCAAGACGTCTGCAATGACCGTTTCCAGGACAAGTGCACTGAGGCATGCATGACATATTAAACTAGTTGAAAGATCCCCGTTTCCACGATGTGATCTGTTAGAAGAAGCTTTGTGTTTTACTTTTCATGCCCAAGAATGAGTTTGTGAATGCTGAGAGAGCACTGGCTGAGCTGCTGGCCTCAATGTTTTGCCCTAATGTGAAAGTGTTTAGTCGATAAAGTGTTTCGCAGAAGGTCGAACTCAGGTAGCCCCGGGGGGTGAGTTAACAACAAGGTGTTTGCTTGTCTGCGTTACGGACCGCTTTGGATATCGACACGACACTGGCTCAGAGCCTGACGCGGCGAGATCCCGTTACACACACAAAAACAGATGTAGCGACGCTATGTTTCTCCTGAAAGAGGCTGTCTCAATGAGGTGAAAGGTCACACTCTCATATAAAGGAATATTACGGAGCTGGGAAAGGAGCTTAATTACAGGTGTTCCAGTTAATGAATGAGCACTCATTTCCTTATTTCTTGTCTTCCTCCTTTTGTTGCTTCTTCATTTCTTAGCACATGTGATTCTTTTAACCCTTTTGTGGCCCTTTTAAAATGTCCTCACTTTCTTCACTTTTGTACCTTTAGTCTCTTAATCTGATTCTGACTTTTGTCATTATTAGTTTATTGTCCTCAGTATACAAATGAATATCCAAGAATAGCAAAAAACAGGCAAGAGAATATACCAGAACTCAAGGTTTTGTTTTTGTCTGTCCAGCTATCAAAAATGTCAGTGATTTCTTTGTTTCCATGTCTTGAATTCAGTCCTCCTCAAAGAAGCATACGATTTGACACGTTAAACAACTTTTTATATATTTTTTTGCTGTGTTTTGACCTCTTCCTTTCATAACGTCATTATGACTGAGTTAAATGGATGCTTATGAATTTCATAGGGCCGTCATATAGCACTACCACTAATTGTAAGTAGAGATGGAACGATACCACTTTTTTATGTCCGATACCGATATCATAAATTTGGATATCTGCCGATACCGATATGAATCCGATATAGTGTTTTGAGGTTGAGTTGAGTCTGTGCTTTCTCATCATTGGAGTTTTAGTGGCCATTGCAGTGGGAGAAATGGATTCATTTCTTCTGTGTTTATCACCACAAGTATCTTCCCATCCTCTGCTGTAGCTGTGTAATAATGCACCATAGTGATGCACTCCACTATTCCCTCTGTTGGTGGGAAGGCTATTATGGCCTGAGTCATGACTAAGTGCCTCGCTTTGGGTGTCTCATCAGTGTGTAGCTGTGAAGTGCTTAGTGTGTAGGTTGTGTTTGTGCAGCGAGTGCAATAGAGCGACATTTGGCCAGGGTCCCTCCAGGCCTTGGCATCCTCTGCTGCCCGTGACTGGGCTGGTGGATTGTTTTCTCCTTCACGCTAACCTTTTCGCTGCCTCCACGGGGCTGTAAATATTCCACAAAGACGTGCTGTGCCAACACATACTCGCCTAACTTTTTCAGGTTGCCTTCATTGTGTTGTGTTTGCGTGGAGGCGTTTAGTAGGAGTTTGTGTATGTGGGATTAAAGGGTCTACCTCCTGATGTCAAATTCAAAAAGGAAGAGCAGGCAAAAATTCCAGGCGTGCAATAAAAGTCCAACTGGTAGCATGCTTGAAGCTTTACTGGCAATATATACTCATCACCCACTTTATTAGGCACACTTGCTAGTAAGGGGTGAGGCCCAAGGTGTTGCCATCAGAACTGCCTTAATTCTTTGTGGCATAGAGTCAACAAGGTGCTGGAAACATTCCTCAGAGATTTCGGTCCATGTTGTCATTAACGCGTCACACAGCTGCTGCTGATTTTTTTTGACTGTACATCCAAAGGTGCTGTTTTGGTTTGAGATCTGGGGACTGTGGAGCTCATTTGTGTACAGTGAAACTCATTGTCATTTTCATGAAACCAGTTTGGGATGAGCTGTGCTTTGTGATGTAGTCATAAAGGGAATAATACTCAGGTTGACTTTGCAGTTTGATTTGCACCAAGACCAGCCTGTCTGACGCAAACAAACACACCGCGTTCAAAGTCACTGACATCACCTTTATTCCCCATTCTGAAGCTCCCGTTTGAATTTCAGGAGGCCATCATGATCCTTTGCATGCCAAAGTGCAGTGAGTTGCTACCATGCGATTAGTTGATGTTAATGATGAGTTGAATTATAAAATTTTTGATAAGTGTAAATATTAATCAAATATTGCAAATGAGTCCAAAATCGCTGAAGATTTATATAATGGGAGTGAAAACAAATGCAAATGCTTTTTTTGTTTTAGCCTTTTTTTTCTTGCCAAGTCGTTTACTTTCACTAAGCCAAAATCCACCCATCCATTTTCTTTCACCGAGGTCAAGTTGCGGTTTCAATTGGGAATCGAGAAACATGCCGAACGCTTCCTTCTCTGAGTACTTGCATGTCTTTTTGACAGTTGATCATTGCAAAACACTGACGTCAAACTCAAAGCAGTGCAGCTTTACTGTCTACATCATGTTTGCACACTGCAATAATGAGACGCATGCTGTGATCCCTAAAACCTCGCAGTCTAGCTGCCTTTGAACTAGAATTGGTAAAGAATTGATAAAGATTTTCCCCTTTAGATAATAATATCATTTTCCCTCTGTGGTTGCAGTGTAGCTGATTGAGCAGGGTATTTCACAGAAAAATCACTCCAGCGATGTTTTCCAGTTCCTGTTGGGGAATCCCGAGACACTTGGAAAGCCAGTCTTTCCAGTAAGCTTTGAGTCTCCTCCCTCCCTGCTGGAAAACCTACAAAGGAATGCACCAAGGAATCATTGTGATTAGATGCTTAAACCGCCTCATCTGTCTCCTTTTGACGCTCCCATCAGATCCATCATGATGTAGAAGCTCCTCATCCAATCCCTAATACTTAGTCAGGCCACCCCAAAACAACAAATATAACCAAATGCAGGACTGTAACGAAAGATTTTGATTATCAGATCATTAATTATTTATATTCTAGTAAATCAAATCGTAAATTTGGGCCATTTGTTTTTTTTAAGTGACTGATGCCTAATGCTTAATCATTTTTCTTAACCTTTGCTATCAGAATTTTGTGACCCAGAACAGATCAAAGAAGACGATGAGATGCGACAGACCGTGGCTTGCAGCCTTCAGATACCGTTAATGAGTCCAAGAATTAATCTTAGGCATGGCCTTAAAATTATATTTTCATACTCGATGGCCTGGCTTTGTATGAAACATTAGGGAAGCTTTTTCATTAAGTCTGATTACTGCCCTTCTTTTAATAGTGCCAGCCGATGGCTTTGAGAAACACTTTAGTGTGATTTAATGTGTGACTTGTCAAATTATCCTAGCAAGTCACGTTCACCAGAAGCATCTTATTGTCCTAATTGGCCTCTAATTACATCCAGCACCTGGTGATCTGTTGAGGAATACTGACCCTAATGAAAGGCGTTATCAGTTCAGGAGGCTCAACCCGCTCTCCTGTTTACACTGAATGGGCCAGTGAAGGATTTAGAGGGCTATTTAAAGCTCACGTTCACCATTTTTCTTGTTGAGCCAAGTAAAAATGTTGGAACTCCCCTTTCTCTTCCGGTAAACTGCAATTCTAGGTTGCACAGGAATGCCCTGAAGATGCCGCCTGTGTTTCCTGTTTTATCCTCTTTCTGTTTGTCTCTTTGTTTCTCACTTTGTCGCCGCAGTCTTTGTTGCTAAAAAAAACAAAAGCAAAAATAGAGTTGGTAGTCCTCTGAGTCATTCTGGCTGTTTTGCCTCCTCTCTTTCTGGCACTGATGTCATCAGGGTGCGCCTCAAATGCATCGTCGGAGAGTAGGAAAAACCGGTATCCATCAACCAGATCGGCAGACATAAGCATACAGTGTGGCGGGCCAAATCTCTGCTCTTGGTTTGTGGTTGTGTGGGAAGTTGCAGGATCAGCGTACTGTTGGAGACGTCCTTAGCTGAGTTTGAGCAAAATGACTCACAAATGTTTATTAGCAGCAGGTGTTTACTGAACAGCCAAGTCATGCAGATGGAAAAAGAAGGATGGAAAAATTGGTGATGCGTGTTGCATAAACGTGAACCTTGAAGCAGAAGGTTAGATTAGCTTTGGGTAAGATTCAGAACGGCAGGAGAGAAGGAGACAGCAGCTCTCTCCAAACACGACTACAGAGCAGAAACTACAAATGGAGCCGAGGGGTAGATGGTACAACAGTCACTGTAGTGCAGCCACTTTCATTTGATCACATTTTAATATAAAAAAAATATTAATTTTAAACGCTTTAAGGTATTTAAAAGTGGCGTCCTACTTTGTATCTTTTGGCATGATGGTTACTAATCGTTTCAAATGGGTCATGTGAAACTGGTTAAGTTTTGCAGGAATTAGCTCTGTGCTGAGTGGTTAATTTTGTCCTTTGGAGAGGCAGACACCCCCGCCTGCAGCCATTAGCCTGCTCTAATCTCTTTATGGGCCTGGATCTGGTCCGGTGAGCTGGAACCTGCTGACTGGAATAATGGCTGAGGTCTAGTGTGGAGAGATGAAAGAGAAAGATGACAGTGTGTGTGAACATAATACCCTCTACCTCTTGCTGTTGACTGGGATCTACCTGCTTAATTTAGCTTTAGTAGCCTTGATATTAGACAGCTGATTAACAGCATTTTATTTGCTCACAGTAGTCATTTATTTATGGAGTTGAAGGAAGGCAAGAGGAAGCCCCGACTGAGGATGATATACCAGATAAGGTGCAAAGGAGGGAGGGGAAGCTAGCTGGCTGATACTTGATCAGCAGCAGAAATGAATATTTCACTGGTCACAAGGCTAAGACGCTCCATCTCTCAGACACAAACTGTTTCTATGTGCATGCCCATGTGTGCATTGAATTGTTTGTGTTTTGCTTATAAGAGTTTTAATTAATTAATTTTTTGGACTCATTCTGCTGTGCCGAGGCTCAGTTTATGCTTCCACAGCTGAATAATTTACACGGATGGCGAATACGAGAAGAATCCAGTGCTGCCAGGAGAAGGTGTTGGGTGTAAAGGAACTGGATTTGACTGATTGAATCATTACAGACATGAGCTGCCAAATCACAAAGCAGTGACAGAGTGTCCTGATAGTCTGGGTCCAGACAGACCATCTGAACAGCAACAAAAACCTTTTGTCTTCTTATGACTATCCAGTTTCTTAATGGCTGCGTAATCATACAGCACCATTTCGGGAATGCAAGTTCTTGAGCTCTTCGTGACTCTCATGAGCTCTCCGTGACTCCGTCACACAATGGAAAACAGTAGTTTTAGAATGCACGCGACCAAAATGATTACAGCTTTGTGCAATCGAGCGAGCTTTGAAATCGCTGCTACAAAGACGGCAACATGGTCTGCGAACAAACGCAGCCAGTTGCCGTCTTTGAATGTACTTTGGTGTGTGAAGATGCCGAAAAAGCGGCAATAACATGGAGCAACTCTGCCATCAGGCTTTTAACAGTTTGAAATTGAACGAGGCTAAGTTGGCAATTACACGCAATCTATTTGCAATAAAACGAAGATAAACTGTAATAAAATGGTGAAAATGGCAAGTCTGTTGGCATCTACTTACACAGAAAGTTTCACGTTACTACTTGCATTCAAAGCAAGAACCTCATAGATTTGAAATGGCCATTTGTTCGCCACTCTGACTTGCTCAGATTGAGTCCAGCATCGTGCAAATCTGTATTTATAATTGAGATGGTGCAAGTTGGACCGTGGTCGTTTGGAGATAGGATCGCCTCTCACTAGGTGACCTGTGCAGTGGCCTCATGATTGAAAGCGGTTGCCCAGAGGTTAAGTTATAGTCACATATGAATCTACAACTCGCAAGTTAGTCCACCCCTTCCTGCTATAATCAACCTTTCCTCAGGTTTTGCTGTGCTTCTTCGTAGAGTCACATATGGTGTCACATATCTGTGTCTTGAGCATAGACGTATGGATTGTGTTATTTTTATTAGCTTGCTCTAAATTAGGAGGTGGGTATATCAAGATAAGTGTGTCCAGTGTTGGTTGGGTTTAGTGTTGACCTGATTTAATGGTAGCTTTGGCGTCCACGCCTAATGTTTTTTCAGGATGGTCACCTCTGCTGACCTCACTAGAAAAGTACAAGTAAGTAAGCACTATGGTGGGTTGAAAAAGCAATAGATGTATTATTCTAGTGCTAAAGAGTTTCACTAATAAATAATTATTTTTTAACCTGATCCCAACCTGTAATATTATTTATATAAAATAACTATTAATAGGAGTCTGAGTTACAGTAATTCAAAGCAAAAATGTATCAATATTTGTTTGTGAAATAGACAATAAATACAAAGATCAATCGCACGATTTAGATCATGCTACAATAAAACTGCATGCCTGCATGTGTCTTGACTTAACAGTGTTGATGTACAAATGTTAGGATAATATGGTACTATTCAGTGGATCATGGCATTCTGGTAGAATCTATGCTCAGTTGGTTTACACTCAGTTAAATGTTTTTTGTTTTTTTAAATTTATTTATTTTCTGGTGTAACTCAGAAAGAAAATCTCTTTCTGGTGTCAGTTTGCTATTATTAAAGATGTTCCACATAGTAGTAACAATGACACCCCAAACTGTGGCGGACACTTCTATGGTCAGGTTTCATTTATTTATCGTTTTTTAGCATTTCAAATGAATATCAGGCTAGGATCTAATGCTTTTGTGGGGCTTTATCATGGTTTCACTGCATTCTTCAAATGTGATGCGGACCAAAATTGGGAATGTACAGGGAAGGCCGTGAAGCTCCGGACGGCAAAAGAAAGAATGTGAAATCAATAAAATCACAGTAGTGTTTAGAGGAGATTGTGCTGAATTGGTCTACGGAGATTTCTGCGTCAATGATCAACTCAGTGTGCGGCTACTCTGCTAACTATTAACCAATACTCAAACTGTGAATGGAGGCAGAAAACACTTAGGTCATGGACAATCAAGTTTGTGTGATTAAGTGTCTTTACTTTGTGTAAAAGCAAACAGGGACTCACTGATTCAGCATATAGCATGGGACACTGGCAAATACTTATAAATGTGCACCTTATTTTATGAGACTGTGAGGCCTGGGTACACTTTGTCCAGTGTTAGTTACACATGTTACTGTGCTAGACTTACCCCTGTTCTTTTTCAGCATCTGTTTATGAGCTCATCATCAGTAGATTGAGCAGTGTATAAGCAATACAAATACAAATACAGCTTCAATTAAGTAGAAAACACCTTTTCCAAACACTAGCTGTGGTTTTATGACGTATGTCTTTCCATTCCTGTTTCTGGAATGTTACATTCAACAGCAGTCATAACCTTAAATTATGGGCTTTTAAACATTTTTTTAGTGTTTCTCAATATAATTTATTCTGTATTTAATATAACTGTTTTTTAAAACCACAAGCGTGTGTGTGTGTGTGTGTGTGTGTGTGTGTGTTGCAATCGACATCCAATACACCGTAAGCGCTACTCTTGGGATTTGCTTGGCTGGCCTGTCGGTTTGTTTACAGCCTGTTTCTATAAATATATCTGGACTCTTCTCGTCTGTGTCCCGTAGGTTTGCTAAGAACCTGTCGCCCGACAAAATCAACCTGAGCACGCTGAAAGGGGAGGGCCAGCTCACCAACCTGGAGCTCGATGAGGAGGTGCTCCAGAGCCTGCTGGACCTGCCCACCTGGCTGGCCATCAATCGTGTGGAATGCAACAAGGCTGCCATCAGGGTGAGACTCGGGGTTGTTCAATTTGTCACCTATTTACTGGAAATGACGACTTTTAGGGAAGAGCTTTGGCTTCAGATGGAAACAACCCTTACGCTTTTATAGAGAACATTAGGACTGGAAACACTGGGTTTAGGAAAATAGATTTGATTTGAAAAATGAGACATGGGTTATGATGCTGGTTCCAGTGGTGCTTTTTTTAAGGAGTCATATTTAAATAGATGTGCAAAGCAGATTTTGCACTCAAGTCAAGGATACCTAGAATACTCCATAAACACACAATGTGTATATACAAACAGTGTGCCTTAAAAACATATCATACAAGTGTTGAAGGCACACTGGTAACCTCTAGTGACTCTTTGCACTACATAAGCACTCTCTGCTGGAGCTGTCCGATGCGGTCATGGTGATCAGCCAAGTATCATGACTGAGAGCAGCCTCTGACACACCCTGGAAACGGTGAATGCAGCTGTATAATTTTCTTCATGACTGGACTTTTATTCAGACCAAGGTCCATTTTCCACCTCTGCCTTCCCTCCCCCACCCGACTACCTTCCCCTCTTATCCTCAAAAAGCCGAACCGTCAGCTCATAGCATAATTTTTCAAGCCTTTTCTTCTTGTTTCGATTTGCTTTAAGGTTGCCACTTCGATGTCTGATCAGCTGTAAATGCAATGTACCATTGTTCCCTTGTCTTTACTTGTAAAAGTCCCATCAGTTGGGGTCAGTGTAAGGGGAATATGATTTCTGAGTGAACAATGGAGCTGGTGAATTGAAACCTTCACTACAGCCTTAACGTAGCTCACTGGGTATTTTTGTGTTTGCTGTTAAACCGGCTTTTAAAATAAAACAGAAAGCAGAATCATATCTCACTTCCTCACTTGTTAGATCCCCATCTGTTCTTTGCATCTTCCTGTTACGGAGACAGTAAGCCTCACACATTCACCTCTTCCCTTTAAAAGGCCGCAATACACAAATTGGAGTAAAAATAGGTTGCTTCATTGAATGGTCCTGTTGAGTAAAGTTACACAATCGATATCTAGACGGGCAAAGACTCATTTGTAACTTCACATACTGTAGTAGATGTTTCTGCCTCAGTAGTTTAAAAGATGAGCTAGAACCCCCTGATGTCTTTGAAAACCAGAAGGAAGGCAAATGAAATGGATTTAATTGAATTAGACGCACAAATCCCGAGTATTTCCCATTACTTGATTTATGACGTCTCCCAAAAAGGAGTCGCTCTGTGACAAAAAAACCCCCCTGAAACCGAACATAAGCATTTAATCTGTTTTGCTATATAATTTGACTTGAATCAGGAGGCTGCATGTCGAGGATTAATGACGCTCTGGAGATGAATGAATGAGCTGCCAGTCAGTCTATACTACTCATCGATTACGTTTTTGTTCTTTCTACTCTGCTGGATTTGTACATCCTGTTAATTGAAATTGCATTTTTCATTTCAGTGAACCAGAAATCTGAATGGGTGAGGTAAAGATTAGTTCTGTGTAGCATGCAATGCTGCAAAGCTGACACGCTGCTCTGCTTTCACCCACAGATACCATGGACCAAGTTGAAGACTCACCCGATCTCTTTGGTAAGTTGATGTGCCACTTTCAATCAATAAGTGAATGTCCAGGATATATGATACACTTTATTAGAAGGTTAAGAGCAGGAAATGGCAAACAAAATGTGTCAGTAAGCTTCCTAAAGCACTGCTGAAGCTTTCCTTTGACGCACTCGCACATATGACGTACGAGAGCCTTTAGTTTCCCGTCTTGAGCCCGTTTTATCTTCAGTATGCTGTCAATTGGCCTTTGTGTTGGTGCTGAACTTTTCCAAAAGCTCGTTTATGTCTGTTCCACTGGCTGCCAGTGTTTCTCTGACCTCCGCCTGAATGAGCAGGCCACAGGTGTCAGGTTGATAGACTCCCAGTCTCCAGGTAGCTTCAATTCCCAGAACACGGGCCAGTGAAAACCAGCAACAAGAACACACAGTACACCTGCCTACACAAAACCTTTAGACACCTTCAGCTCTGAGCGTTGTGAACTTTCTGGGCTCAAGGAAACATTTTTGTGTTCTCTAATGTGCATTTCCTCTTCGGGGTTCATTAGTTTTAGTGTTAATTTGAGCTTTTTCATATCATACTGTGTTTGGTATTTATCAGGGGCAAGATTTAACACATTCAGGTCTAGCATCAAAGTACAAAAAGATAAAATACACACCAGCGCTTCCTGACGATTGTTGGATTGGCAAATTTTAATACGTTGACAAAGACTATATAAAAGTAAGGCTGTTTGCTTATTTTGCATATTTTAGCTCATGTAGCCAGAGGATTGTTGAGCTCATGACATACCAAGGCACCTGTCCCTTCGCCAACTGGTTACCAAACCTTTATCGCAGAATCACTCAGCCTGTAATGCTGCTCCGAGTTTAACTAAACTGAAATAAACAACCACCTAATGGTCTTCACTCAAAACATGCTCAAGTTTGTCAAATGTCTTTCTCAATGAATTTTTATTCTCATTAGATTGTGCAGTACAACCAATCAGTGATAAGACCTGACAGGACAACCAATATACTTCTGAACTGTGATCGATAATGAGTCAGATGAGCTACTATGTCTATGACATTCTAGTCTTTGACTTGCTTTTTCTTTCAGACTTTGGATAAAGTGGTGATGGAGATGAGTACCTGCGATGAGCCTCGTCCACCCAATGGCCCATCTCCCATTGCAACAGCATCAGGACAGAGGTGGGCTTTTCTTTCTGTTATACTCATTGGGATGAGTCGGATGAGCAGTGTAGGCAGCAATGAAGTGCTTTCAAACTTTTCAACAGTCCAGTTTTTGCTTGTTTTATTTTTGCCTTTTGAATGTGAATTAATGCAATATATATATATATATATAGTGCTGACCAGTAATGGCAAAAAAGTATCAAAACGAATTAAAAACAGACATTTTTAAAACAGTTCTGTTGTGTCACCATACACCACTATAAATCAAATGACTCTGAGGGGCAGCTAAAACAGTGTCAGAGTACTAGCACTGAAACCGGAACCCTCCCACTCTAAAAAATATTAATTACTCAACCACTAGTATAAAAAAGGGTCATTTTTATGAGTTAACAATGGGATGGGAGTTTATTTCTGATCATAAAGGTCACAAATCAAAGTTCAGAGATAAGACTAATATTTACTTTGCTTGTTATACAGCTTTGAGTGATCAATAAAGCTTATCTTCAAAAATTAATGAATACAAAACATGGCGGTTATTTAGATAATGTGTGAGCTTTTTGTTTGTTGAAAGACGCAGATGACTGACAGGCTACTAATGATCTATTGCCCCCCCCCTCTCTCTGTGCATCTTACAGTGAATATGGTTTTGCTGAGAAGGTGGTAGAGGGCATATCCTTATCAATCAACTCCATTATCATCCGGATCAGTGCCAAGGCCTTTAACGCGTCTTTTGAGCTCTCCCAGCTGCAGGTCTACAGCGTCAACACCAGCTGGAGCATCGGTGACCTACGCTTTACTCGCATTCAGGACCCCCAGAAAGGAGAGGTCGGTGTTTGTTAGTTTTAAACAAAATAAGGGTATTTTGACACACAACGTTCTCATTTACTGCCCTTTTTTCTTTCGCTCAGATTCTGACATTTAAAGAGATCAGCTGGCAGATGATCCGGATCGAGGCCGACGCTATCCAGAGCGCCGAGCACGAGATGTTGAGCGCCCCCATCCGCCTCATCACCAACCAGTCCAAGATCCGAGTCACTCTCAAGAGACGGGTTAGAAACCACGCATGTGCCCTTTCAGATATTCATGCTATGACATTTGACGGAGCAGGCTTGAAACCCAGACTCTAGGCAACATCGGCTTGTCCACTGTGAACAATGACCCCTCTGTGTGGCCTCACAGGCTGCAGGGCCAATAGCAGTGCTTCATTAAACAGCTGGTGTTTATTTCAGCCAAAATGGCAACCAGTATGCAGTTTCTTCAACACAAAGGGGATTTTAGTGTGCTGAGCAAAAGTAATTGGCCTGCTGAGTTCCTATTGGACAAAAACAAAGATACAGATGCTGCTTAAACTGCAAAACCTGTATTCGGTTTGTTTGTTTTTTTTTAAATCTGATAAATGTTCTTGTGAATTCGGTGTCATGTTACATTCCTGGAAACTCTTGGCGAACCTCCACCTGCATATTGCTTGTTTATAGCAACTCTTCTGTGTGATTCAGATCAAAGACTGTAACGTGGTGGCCTCCAAGCTGATTCTGATCTTGGATGACCTCCTGTGGGTGCTGACAGACTCTCAGCTCAAAGCTATGGTGCAGTATGCCAAGTCCCTCAGTGAGGCTATGGAGAAGTCTGCACAGCAGAGGAAAAGCATGGCCACAGAAGATCAGGTACCAGTCAGGGACGTTTTCCACGCATAGAGAACGCTTATCATATTTTCTTACGTTTTTTTCCCCTCTTTCTGTCACCCTCCCCATTTTTCCATTTTTCCCATTTCCTCCTCCTCTTCCTGTTCATGCTCTAATTGTGTGTGAATGAGCCATGGTGTAATATTTAGTCCTCGTGCTTGTCAAAATCACGTCTGATGCCCTATTTGTGCCCACAGTATGTCTTTCACTGTTGCTTTTTAGCATCTTTCAGTCAGTGTCCTACTTTCCTGCTCTCTACACACACACAGAGACACAAAATGTACAGACAGCCATCGCCCACTCATATTCACACCTTCCTATATCTCAGCAGCTTTACTTTACAGTAATGAATCTGTTTCCCGTAAATTGGCCTTATATGCCACCTGGTGGAAACACTGAGTACTTCACCGCTCATCTTTTTTATTGGACTCATCAATCTTCATGAGTCACTCTTGTAGGAAATGAACTGAAAACCTCATCAGTGACAAGAATAGGATGATCTATCAGAGCGTTTATAACACGGGCAAAGCGTCAACACTTAAAACGTTCTGTGTTCTCCAGGTGTCATCGCCGCCCCCTTCAGCCCAACAGGTGCGCACCCAACAGGCGTCCTCAGCTGCTGACCAGAGTGCAACCATGGCCAAGCTGTTCAGCGCCTATGATGTGTGCGAGACATCGCACCATCTCCAGATCACACACCTAGACCTGCACATCTGCGATGATATCCATGCTAAGGACAAAGGTAACGCATGTGCAGCTTTACGCTTTTACTTTATTAAGCACACAAATGACAAGCATGATTGTTTTCAACTTGAGGTCTCTTGTTTTTTGCTTCTGGTGTATAGTCGGCAATAAAAGGATAACCGGTGGAGCCATGCAGCTTTCCTTTAGCTCCATTACTTTGGACTACTACCCTTTCCACAGAGCAGGTATGAATTCAGCTGTTGAGATCAGTAATCTGCCAAACAAAATAAACACGGTTTACTTTAAACAAACAGAGAATTTATTAATTGTATTTCAATCTTCATAGGTGACAGCTGCGCTCACTGGATGCACTACAGCGACGCCACTAAGACAAGAGAGAGCTGGGCACGGAGCCTCCTGGATGAATTCAGGACCAACGTGGAGATGTTAAAGAGCACAGTTCGAGACCAGCAAGGCCCGAGCCACACCCACAGTTCCCCAAAGCATGGTAAAAGCACACGCGCTCACACACAGGTGTTAGGTGCATTTTTGTTGTACCCACAGCACATCACCCCTGTGGGTTTTCTGTCCTCCAGTGTCCCTTAGGGACGATGTGTATGGCTCTCTAGGAAGTCAGGAAGGAGCGGGAGGAGGAGCAGTAGGGCTTAGTGAGACACACTCCTCACTACTAGATTGGAGCCCACACGCACAGCCTCCAGCGCAGTGCTGCTGGTGCCTGGAGCCAGGTATCGCGGTGTGTTTGCGCACAGTTTGGTGCGGTGATACACACCTTTGTCTAGGCACAGAAGTTTCTCATTGGAGAACTGAGTTGTGACACTGTTTGCCGCCCTCTCTGCTGTTGTGTTTTTTAGTCATTTCCTCTTGTTTTATCTACACATACCTTCTTCTTTTCCCTCCAGGTAAGATAAACACGTCTTCCAGCGCTTCCTTCAGTCCTCCTCTGCCTCAGACTCCCAAGGCTCAGCTCATGTCCAGCTCAATTGTTCTCAGGGTGGCTGACTTCAGCATCTATCAGGTTCAGTAATGTTGCAGACTTTTTCTGCAGGAAATCACTGAGGCTGTATACATTTTCTCAACTACCTTTAATTCATTTTTCAGGTCTCAACAGCAGACCAGCGCCGCTCCAGCCCCAAGACCATGATCTCCTGTAATAAGAAGTCATTGTACCTTCCGTCAGAGATGCCGGCCATCCATGTAGAGTTCACAGAATACTATTTCCCTGATGGAAAAGACTACCCTAGTAAGACTTTTGTGCCTTGATACTCAGGATACATTTATTTACTCACCTCGCAAATAAATGAGTTGATCGTGCGCTGTGTAAATAACAATTTTTCTAAACCCGGGCTCTGCTTCATGGGAGGTTTTCTATCTCCCATCACACTTTCGAGTCCATTTTGTCCAATCGGTGAGCTGTGGGGTTAGTCATTGACTCCTGTGTGGCTGAGAGAACATTGATTTTTCTGAATTACACTCAGTGCTCTGGATGAGGGATCACCCAATTAATTCATTTATGGATTTCTCACAAGCTCTATTAGCACACGTTATGAGAGCCACTAAAGGTTTTTTACTTTTCTGACTTCGAGTGTGCAGCCAAGAAAATAACATTTAGCAAATTAAGTACCATTCCTTCCTTTTTCTTTTTTTAATACGCATAGTGTCTTATTACTTTCTGCTACGTGTTTCTAAATATCATGTAACCTTTCCATCTTTTCCATCATGTTTCTGCTCCTCCAGTTCCGTGTCCAAACCTTTATGCTCAGCTCAATGCCCTTCAGCTGGTCCTGGATCCTCGCAGCCTGGTGTGGCTCAACCTCTTTGCCCTCGACCTGAGGCAGAGTCTGGAGCAGTTCATGGAGATCTACAAGCTCAATGACTCTCAAAAACCAGACGAGCATGTTGACATCAGGGTTGACGGCCTCATGCTGAAGGTAAGAAGGATTGCAGAGGGATAGGCCGTTTCCTGGTTTGAAGCTTGGACTGTATTTTCTCGGATTCATGCCTTTTTAAAAAAATTATTATTATTTCTCCACTAGCTCGTAATTCCCACTGATCAGGACTCTTCTTCGCCTGCTGACCTGCCTCGCTCCATCTCAATTCAGACTTCAGAAATGGCAGCCACTAACACCCGACACCCGGCCAACTGTACACGATCCCACCTTGAAGCCCTTCTGCAGGCCTTTGAAGAGGAACCCTTCTTCTGTTCATCTTTTTCCTCTTTCCCTCGCTCCTCATCCTCTTTACCCATCCTCCATCCCGTCTTCCAGCGCCACGCTCACGAACAGGACACCAAGTTGCACGACATTTATCGGGGCCTGGTGGTGCCCACGATGGGCACGGACGCCCTCAAGATGCCTGCAGCCACTGACTTTTGGGCGCTGCACTTTGCCCAGTTTTGGGTGGACTATGAAGGAACCCGCGGAGGTAAAGGGCGGCCCCAGCCCTTTGTGGACTCCTTCCCTCTAACTGTGTGGGCGTGTCAGCCAGCAAAGCTCGTCCAGCATCAGGAGAAGCTGAGGAGTGCTGCTGGACCAGGACTGTCCAGAAGCTCGTCAGCGGAGGCTGTCGCACGTTTACAGAGGAAGCGATTATTAAAGGAGTATTACAGCACTGATGCAACGACATCATCACCTCACAATAGCAATTCAGCACTGCCAGCCAGTAATGGTCTCCATAAACCCCTCTCACTAGACAGTCTGCCCTCCTCATCCTCCTCTTTGTCATCAGATAAAGATGCAGATGTGCATGTGTTGGTGCATGTGCAGAAGCATCTGAGCGCTCAGGTATTTTTTCATAAAGGCTTTTGTATCTAATTTGCTTTTTTTTATTCCATATCTTTGGTTGGTTTGAAACCTAAATAGGAAGTAAAATCTACTTAATTGGTAATGGTAACAGTTCTGACCTGTTACCTTTACAGGGATAAAAAGAATAAACATCCCAGATTGAAAAGAGACAGGAAAGTTAAGAAGTTAAACAATAAACCTTTGATAGTTAACAACCCCCTGAAAAAAGCTTCACAGCATTAACACATTTATACATCTTTAATAACGACTTTATTCTGTGCGTGTGTTTAGGTAAGCCATCGGCAGTATGTGTTTCTGATGCAGCTTCAGCGCACCATCAAATCCCTGCAGCAGACACTACAGCAGGATATGGAGAAGATGAGCTCCAAGAGAGACCGCAAGGATCCTTCCCACCATCCGGCAGATCGCCAGCCGTTCACAGTCTGCTTGGGCCTCCTGCTCAAAAGCGCAGAGGTGTCCCTGCTCCTGAAGCCCATTCCGCAGCCTGAGGGTTCAGGATCTCCTCCAGGCTCGGAGCTGTCGCCCTCAGAGAGCCGAGGAACTCTGGAGCCTGCGAGTGATGCGAGAGACGGGGGAGAGAAAGGCAATGAAGGATCTGGCTCAGAAGGTGGAGGAGCCAAGCAGTCTTGCACTGTAGACCAGCTGCTATGTAGCCATGGCTTAGAGGGAGGACCCATGCAGGTTCCTGCACCTCTCGTTCCCGCTTCCACTTCAACTACACATCCCGACTTGAACCACAAAACGTCAGTGGAGGAGAGGACTCCGGCTAAAAGGACTGGGCGGGAGAGTTCAGATGAAGGTGGCGAGGTGCTGACGGATGGGTTGTCTGGAGGTGATGATATGGGATCTAGGTTAGACTCCAAAAGCCAACCATGTGACCATCTGCCTGATCCACTCAGCAGCAAAGACTGGAGCGACAAAGACAAGGCTGCAAAGATGCCTCAGTCAATATCCAGGTATTCAGTTTGTCTCACGAATGCTATTAGTTTCCACAACAGAGTCATTACTAATACGTTAAGGCAGAACTGTGCTGCTTCAACATTTAGACTCCGCTGAGATAAGCCAGTAATTAGTTTTGTTTATACAGTTCAGTTTCACACATTTGCAGAAGAGGAATCGCTCTACCAGGAATCAGATGCTCGCAGTACAGGCTGTGTAAGTGCATTATTAAGTTAGTGCTGAACACCAAGAGATAAACATAAAAAATTTTAAGGATTCAACAAAGCATAATTTTAATAAGGTTAGTCTGCTGATGATTTTGTTGATTAACAAGTTAATCTTTGTAGAATCTTTTCCAGTCGGGAAAGCGTGTTAAAGAGGCCATTACAATGTCAGCATCCTAACTAATGTTGTACAGATGCTTGTTTTATCCAACCAAGGTCTAAAGCCCAAATTTGCTACCATACAAGGACTAGAATCACACCCATAAAAAAACAAAAACAAACATATCCCCTGAAAGGCCGTCTCCTTGTGTCATCACTTTCATCACTCCTGCTGCGTTTGGATCACTCTCTGGTCGATCTGACTACTTGTTCATGTGCATTTGAGATTTGCCCTGGTTTTCATTTATTAAAAGTGACCCTACAACCTAAATGTAACTTTGCAGGGAGCCAAATGTTACGAACAGGGCTGAGGGGGGATTGTGTTGGTGTGGCTGCACCACAGCTCAGGACGTTCTCTCTCAGGCGTTAAGATGTTACAGCAGGACTCTTTATTAAGAAAAGGATGCCCCCGGTTGTGTTAGTCTTGAAGTGTTTCCTTCAATTTGGATACTCTGTTCTCTTCTGTGCTGAAGAGTGCGCTTGTAGCTGGAAACGGAGCTCTCGTCACCAGGGAGGAAACTGCGAAATTGCAAATATGCATTTGCAGATCAGATCATGGCTTCCATGGAGTAATCCAAATATAACTGAGAAACACAAAAATAGGCCCTTGAAAGTGACAACAGGCAACTTTAAATTGGGATATGTTTCTTTTTTATTTGTGGAGTTCGAAAAAGTTTTGATTCAATTTTATTTATACAACGCCCAAATAACAGCAGCAGTTGCCTCAAGGCGCTTTATATTGTGGGGTCGATTGTACAGTAATACAACAGAGAAAACCCCAACAGTCATATGAACACCCTATGAGCAAGCACTTTGGTGACAGTGGGAGGGAAAAACTCCCTTTTAACAGGAAGAAACATTCAGCAGAACCAGGCTCAGGGATGGGCAGACATCTGCACTGACCAGTTTGGGTGAGACGAGGAAGAGTAATCAAATGTGGAATTGGGAGAGGGGGGGAAACAAACTCAAACAAACTCAAACAATCTTAATGTTTGAAGCTGAAATCTTAATTTCCATATGATCTTTAAAGCTTGAAACATACCACTTAAACCACTTCCAGACTAGTTCAGCCTTCAATAAGTAGTCCAGAAATGTTCAGCTGATGACTTGATTTAGCTGACAGAAAATTAATTGACAGCAGGGTTGTTAGTTAATGAATTGATAAAGTTATTTATGTAGGAAAAAGGCTAAACAATCCCTTTTTTTTGCCCAACTATTTTAGTTGCATGTAAAAGGTTAAAGTGGTTCCGTAGGTGACCGTCATATGAAACTAGTTGTGCCTTTTATAAGAGAGAAAAGCAATGGAGTAAAATATGGGGAGCAGGAGTGTGTAGGCACAGGATAAGACAACGGTACTAAGTGCTGAGTACACCCTTAGCTGCAAACATAATGTCAAAAAAATCAAATATCTATTAGATTTTATAAGTAAACCAGCAAACATATTTTCTACTAGATGATTTGCACCCAGTTTAAATAGCGTTGCGGTGCTGAATCCAGAGAAGTGATCGTATGTCACAGTTGTCAGACTTTTGTTAAATGATCCAGACGGCTTTTTCAGAAAGACCTCTGTGCCTCGCTGTCATTGACCTACATGAGTCTTTCTCTCACTAATTTCATGTCTATTCCTGAACACAAGAGCTGTGTGTCGAATTCCCACATGAGTGCTCGTCAGTCTGAATGTTCAGTCTTCTCACATCACCTGTCTCACTTTCTGAATGTTGGCCGGCCACAAGCTGCTGTCTTTTCTTACATGTGTTTTCTCATCTGCCGTCTGTCGACATTTGGATGTTCTGTGTTTTAACTCATTCATTTCCTTTTCTGCCTCTTGACCTTTGCTTTGACCCATGCGAGGTGTGCGTGTGTGTGTGTTTTCTCTCTATCAAGGAAAGGAAGTTTGTCTGTGGTATCTGATCTCCTCAGCTCCTCAAACTCCAGCAGATCCACCTCCCTTTATTCCATGTCCAACATGTAAGCCACTGGATCTGTGACTAGCTGTGCTAATGAGGGTGTACATGTACCCTGTGTGTGTGTCCTCCTGCTTGTAGTCTGTGGATGAGCACAAATGCAAATGTGTATATGTGCATCCTCTGTGGGCATGCATTTGCATGAGTGCATGTCTGTATGTGTTATTTTTCTCCCCTCTGTTTGCTGTCTATTTGTTAACCCTTCATGGTCGAGATGAAATGGGAAGCTCTTCCTTTGTGACAGTCGCGCCCCCCCCCGCCTGCCTTGTGTTCTCAGTCTGTCGGGAGCAGCTTTATTTTTTTGTCTGATCTGAATTTTTCTTGAGATTATTTCTGGCGCTCTGGTGAGGCTAGCACACTTGGTTCTTACGTGACCTTAAACAACACTACACAAAGGAATGAAGCGATATTTAATTCATGACTTGTCGAGTAGGCTCTGTCAGCTCAGAGAGAGCACTGTGGTGTCGGCTAGTGTCGGCATAACACAAACTCCTATCAGATGTGATGAAATAGTTTCACTGGACTCCTTTTTTATGTCACTGTTACTCAGTCTGTCATAAATTAGTCATAACTTAGAATTAATTGCATGCATGAAAATTGTACCTCAAGCAGAAACAGAGTGATCGGGGTGATTATGGTCACTACTGTCACACCTCCTCATGCGCCCGTGTATGTGTGTGTGTTGTAGTGGTCGTTTGATGCGGGATCGCTCCCAGTCCAGTTTCTCTGTGTCCTATAAAAATATGAAGAAGAGCCCCTCTCTGCAGTCCCTGGACAACATCTCCATAGATAGCTACCTGATGGAGGATGGAGACACTTACAGCCTGCTGGAAAGAGGTAAAAATATCGTGTAGTTGCACTAAGCTCCACCATTTTATCCTGACCTTTGGACTTCTTATGTGTTTCATGGAGTAGAGCATATCTCCGCATGGATCAAGATTTAATGATTTGTGTAGGTGTAGTTGCAGCTTGCTGTTTGGCCTTAAGGTGGCAGCATTGTGCTGGTTGTGCGTTGGTGAACTGGATTACATGAGAAAGGAAAAAGTTACACTAATGAATACAAAACATGATATACTATACTGGATCAACAAAATTTAGGCCAACAATGCAGAAGCTGCGTGTGGAAAAAATAACTACAGCCTTACAGGCTTCCACAGGGATTAAGAGGGTAAATAGTAGGCAGGTGCTGTTAATCAGATCCACTTGTAAAAGCTGAGGTTTTGGTAAACTGGGAAGGGTTTTGGGCATTTTTATCAAACAGTCTGAAGTCCATCGTCTTACACTGAGTGACTATTTAGAAGTGGGAAACATTCAACACAGTTGCCAATCTTCTCAGGAGTGGATGATGTAACAAATTCACCAGAAGTTCAGACCCCTGCAATGCTCAGATAAACTGTAAAAGCCCAAGAACTGCACCTCAGACACTACAGGCCTGTCACAAGACAGGTTCATGTCTTAAATTTAAAGTTCATGACAGCATAGCTAGAAAAAAGACTGAACAAGTACGCCGCGTTTGGAAAGGTTGTCAGGACAAAGCCTCTTCTCTCTAAAAAGAACATGGCAGCACAGCTTACACAAACCACAAGACTTCTGCAACAGTGTCCTTTAGACAGATGAGACCAGAGTGGAGGTGTTTGGACATGATTCACAGCCCTATATTTGGAGAAAGCCTTGACACAGCATATCAGCACAACTGCTGGGCGATGATTTGGGCATGTTTTGCAACCATAGGACATGGGCACCTTTTGCAGTCATTGAGTCCAGCTAAAGCTTGGCCCAAATTGGATCATGCTACAAGACGATGATTCCAGGCAAAGTAGCTAATTTACAACAGAATTGCTGCAAAAGAAAAGAATAAAGGTGCTGCAGTGGCCTCAACCTGATTGAGCTGCTGTGGTGGGACCTTAAGAGAGCTGTGCATTAACGAATGCCTGCAAACTTCAATGAACTAAAGTAGCAGTGTTGTTAAAAAGGGAGTTGCCAAAATTCCTTCTTAAGGACTTTGAGACACTGATTAAGTTGGACAGAAAAAGGTGAGCTCAGTTATTGCTCTTGTAGGTGGTTCTGCAAACTATTGAATCACGACATGCACTTAGTTTATAACAGATCCTTTTTATTATGTGTTATGTAAAACGTTAGAGTTCATCAGAGGGTGTATGGTTCTCTTTATCATGATCATACATGTGTTTATTTGTCTGTGTGTGTCACATTTGTATTCCTTTATGTACTTTGCAGACGACGTGTCCATCTCAGGCTTCAAGGACGTCATCAGTGAACAAAGCACCGCAGAGAGCGCCATCGAGGCAGCGACTGGTCAGGAGCACGAGGGGGGAGAGTCCCCCGACTCTGCCAGCGCAGCATCACAGAGCATTGATGAGCCCACCAAAGATACAGTAAGAAACAGAGAGTGGTTTTGGGATGAACAATAAAAAGCCAGCATGCGCAGCTTATTCGATTTTTAAATATGTATTCCTCACCTCCAGGTGTCAGTGCTGGTGTTGAAGGTGCAGTCGGTGTGTGTGGGCATGGAGGCCATGGGCGAGAGCACAGCCGTGGCTCTGGAGGTGGGCCGGGTCACACCCAGCCAGCTGGGAAATGTCAGCCTCAGACAGTACCTCAGCAACCGCAGCCTGGGTAAGAAATGCAAGTCGGCTACGCGCATGTTTTAAAGTTTTGTCTGAGAATGAGCATGAGACAAACAGCTTTTCATGTGAGCTCTAATTATTTTTGAGTGTTTTTTTTATTTAAATGTTACAAATGCCAAACTATCACATGAATATTGCCACATTGTCAATTGATAATTAGCAAAACCAGTGCTAATATGTAAAATTGTGTGCACCTGTGTTTGTTAATGGATTTAGACTCAATCCAGCTACAGCTTTTTTTTGTGGCTTTTTATCCTTTTTTTTTTTTTTTTGAGGAGGTTGAGGGTGGAGTGTTTCAGAGAGTAAGAGGGATCATTAGGACAGGGAGAGGAAGGAATGTGATAAAGGTCCTGGAAAAGACTATCAGGATACTGAGGCGACACCTGACATTAAAAAAAAATGTTGTTCACATTTGAAATGATGGGGTGAACAGCAGCTTACATCAGGACATCCACGTTTCTCTCTCAGCAGATGCCAGTGAAAGCAGGAAGGTGATATATAGAGAGTGTTGGGGGGAAAAAGACGTTTGTTCTCAGTTACAGCAGTGATTTATTGATCATTTAAGGCTTTGAGTGCTTCTCAGATTTGAGAATGAATTGCCATCCTTGGTGGAGTTTCTGGGACAAAGCCAGACATTTCATGGCACATCCCTGTGTGATGATTGGTAGATGAATGCAGCCTGAGTCTGAATCCACTTATCTTCTCAAGTGCACACACACACTCGCACACTAACAGCCCACCACTACCAACCACCCCCTTCACCTTTTTTATTTACCCTCCATAACTCCCCACAGGTATGGTGTGTTCAGTACCAATACCTGCACAAAGCAGCCAAGGTAACTGCTGCGTGTTAATGCGCCATCTGTAGCCTAGCGTGCATGCTTGCATTGGTGCCTCTTTTTCCATCTGTGTACGTGTTTGTTTGTTTGTGTGTGTGTGTGTGTGTGTTACGGTTTGCAGGACTTGCTCAGTGGCATGCGCTGCAGATGCAGACGGCGTGTGTTGCAACGCATGAGGAGTGTGTGGTGCTCCTTTTTTTTTTTTTTTTAGCAGCAGCAGCACAGGGTGCTGATGTAGTATTGTGTGTGTGTGTGTGCGTGTGTGTGTGTGGCACTTAACAGAGGATAAATGTGACCGTAATGGAGTGAGTGGTCCCATTATTTGCAACATTAGGCCTGCAACCTTCAAATCTACGCACATTCGTGCCATATTTAGGGTAACAGCTACTTTTTGTGCTGACAGCTTTAACCCCAAATCCTCCCATCCTTCCTCTTTCACCCTCTCTCTCCATCCTCCCCTGTTTTTTTTTTTCTTTTTCCCTCCTACCTCATCTCTCCACTGCAGCAGACTTTGCAGTTTCAGTCCAGTGATTCAGGCAATGAGAGAAATGCCAGCTTTACCCCTCGCCTCCTCTCCTTCTCCTATCTCACAAAAGCTATCCTACCTCCCCCTCTTCCTTCTTTGTTTCCCT